TGTGTGGAAGACACGTGCGATTTTTGTGATTTACGTTTGGCAATTTTCAGTTGAACTTTGAGTCATACTCATGCGTAATAAGATGGTCTATTAGATTGTGTAATGAGCTTTAAAACTTTGTTTACTTGATGATGAGGAATGGTCCTGTTGTTTTAGTATTTGTGCTTTTATGATTCAGAATTAATTATTGCTGGTATTTTAATGAATTAAGATGTTTATCCTATGAAGGTAGATTTGAGTAAGTTGCTGAAGATAAAATAAGCTGTATTAAGGTTGATCAATACTTGTTCAATGAACCTCAATAGTCAAGTTATGAGGAACAACAACTTAAAAGTCATAAAATCAATCTTAAATTAAACTCCGATTTATTTTAATGTTGTTGATCATCCTTCAATTGAATAAGAATTCACTTAGTCTGAACTTCGTCTATTCGTCGCATGCATAAATCCAGAATATCAATGAGCTTATGCTAAACCATAAACTCTTTAAGTCCACATCCTCTATCTATACATACCTTAAGCTATGTATATAATGAGACAAACATCAATAATAGAGAGATCGACTATCAATTTATTCAGTTTTATTTTGGTCCAGATTTTTCAACAAATACCTTGCGATCTTATCTTTGATTAATGACCAAACGAACATCAATTTGACTCTTCCAATAAATATTTAATTTAATTTAAAAACAACTCTTGATTCCAAGTAATCCGTTATTGTGATATTGGAATAATTTTTGGAGATAGTATCTGTAATTTGAATAAACCCCAATTTGACTCTTTTATTGTTGTTGTTGTTTGAATTTTTTAAGCTTATTTAAATGAAATGCAATACCAAGCATTATCCGTTGATATTCAGACGAACTTTATGTCAACAATTGAAGTTAACAAAAGGAATTGAATGTGGATTGTCAAATATTTGCCAAATTCCAATTAAAACCAAAAGTGCTTGTGCAAGAGCTGATAAGAAATATTTTTTATTGAAGGGTTAAACACCTAGCAAAAATATTGCGATAAACAAAACAAAATAAAATCAATATTGTACATTTTGCAAAGGTTATTTGAAGTTTATTGCATTCTATTTATTTATTTTTCTAAAACGCTAAAATAAAGTCGTGAATTATTTCTCAAATATATAAATTCTATTCTCAAAAATATAAATTCAGTGAGCAAATTTAAATTAAATTGGTTTCATTTGTAGTTGTATGCTCATTTTAAATATATAATTGAACATAGCTGATATGATCACATTTGACTATAAATACAAAGACGATTGGGAAAATTTCCAAAAAAAATATTGTAAGCATAAAAACATACCCGAGGAATAATTATCATGTTATTTACCTAATTACAATAATTCACTGGTCGTTTTTATACACATTTTTTGGAGAATTTAAAATCCACCCCTGAAGCTATAAAATTTTTATACCTACTCGAATATTATTTCATAATTCTTTGTAAAATGAAAGGTGATCGATGGTTCCTTTTTTACCATTCAACATAAAATCTATATGCTTCATTTAAAGGGAAACATAAGTATTGAATCAAGTAGAACATTGTTCACAATAAAATCAAATAAGGTTTCTCCTACAAAGAATGAAATAAAAAAATTTGGAAGAAGAAAAAAGAATCATGCAGACATGTGTTCAAGATAAAATAAAATAAAATAAAGTAGAAAGAAGAAAGGAATGAAAAAAAAAACTCGTAAGTGTGTAAGAAGCGAAATAAACAACAAAAGGAACCTAGAACAGATGTTTTTTTCGTTAAAAAGTGTACCATAAATAAATAATGTAAAATCAAAGGAAAACGACCAAGAAAGAAGAAATGAGAGAATTTTATTTTATTTTGGAAAGGTGTTCAATGTGATGAATAAAAGAAGCATGAAGAAGAAGAAGATGGTTGAGGCGAAATAGAGAAGAAACAAAAAAAATTCAGTTACTTTTTTACGCACTTTACTCTCTGCTCAATGCTGCCTGCTTCTTTTTGTGTCGTGTCTCCAAGATTCAATCTTATATATCTTTTATAGTCCCTCATCAGCTTGTTGCTGTTTTATGCCTTTCATACACACAATCTCTTTTTTTAACTTCTTTTTGAAGGTTATTTGGTGATTTCGGAAATTATTGGTACACAACTTATCTCTCTGGCCATTTATATTTTGCTTACTTGCCTGCCTGGTTACTTTCATGTCGATGTATAAGTAATGTGCGTGTCTGCACAAGCTAGTTGTTGTTATTTTCTGTTGCATTTACATTATTTTATAAGACATAATACGTTTCTTTTGTTGAAAATTACTATTTTTTTGATTGCAACATTCATTAAACAGATATTATTTATTCACAGCCAATAGAAGCCAACGAGAGAGTGAGCGAGAGAGGAAAAAATAAAAAAATTTAAATTATATTTTCTATTACTTGTTAAGTCGTCATATGTATGTAGAAAGTTTGGGGTGGTATTAATATACGGTTTCGGGTCACAGATGTTGCGCAACTCCCTTTCTTTCGCTCTCGTTTGAGACATTTTTGTTCTGCTCTTGATCTACATGCAAGCATGAGAAGTTATTGATAGAATATATAATGAAATGAGAGTATAAATTCATGTGTGGGGCACTTTTATTATCAGTAACTAAAAGCGGTAGTAGAGGATAGATAATGGTGTGATGAAAGATCAAAGCGCATTACTACTGTCGAGTAGTTGACTTTGGTCGTTGAAAAAGTAAAATGTCATAAAACATTTATAAATGGATCGTAATATAACTTGGATGGGTCGTTTTGCTTGTGATGTGTGACATATGGATGGGATCTGATGATGTGGGATACTCTAAACATAAAGAATAGAGTCGGAGAATCCTTGAAATTATAATTTTTAAATAAAATCTATTTATGCATTATCCTCAAATTTTAAAAAAAAACATAAAATTCAAATCTCTAATATTTTAAAAGATTCCCTCAAAAAACGAACAGCATTAAATCCAATAAACTTCAAGTCCATCCACCCATCAAATCAGACATGCAAAAATTGACACCAAGCCCCCGATTTGTCGACACGAAAAAAAAATCTTAAAAAAAGTCTCCCGATTGCTTTTTATTTACTTTTATTTATATTTTCTTCTGTTCTTCGAAAATGTCACATTTCCTTGTATTGGTAATAATCTGTTTCTTATCAGGTGGCTTCTATTTGCCTTTGTATTTGAAAAAAGAAGAAAAAAATCTGAAATAGTCTTCATATGTATTTTGTTTTGCTCTGTAACTTTGTTGATACAGCTGTATGTGAACAGAAAATATTTTTTTTGACGTCAATTAAAGTAATTTCTTCTTCTTATGTCGTCGGTTCTTCTTCTTACTACTTACTTGTTACTTCGTTTTGATCGAGTGGTAAATGGACAGAAAAGGAAGAAATATAAAAGAAAAGCATACAACTGTGAGGCATAAAAAGTAGTATACGGAAAGTTTAAAAAGAGAAGGAAGGAATAAACGTACATTTTTAATGACCTTGAGATGATTTTCATTTTCTTCGTATTCGTCATTATGAGTCAATATTATTTTATGGTTTTATAATACGCTTTTATCTATATTCAATCTCTCTATATAGAAAAAATAAGTTATTTTTTGTTTACATTATTTCTCTCAAATACAGCACTTAATTGTGAATTTCTGATGCGTGCTTAAATTCTTATCTTATTTTCATCTATATAATGCTGTGTAAAGACTAGAGTTGGGGTGCTTTTGGTGATAAATGAGTTTTTATTTTGCTTTTCTAATATGAGGAAATGTTTAGGAATAAACATGAGTTTTTATTTCCCTTTAAAATTGATTTTGTGCTTCAAATAAAATTTTGAGGTCATATTTTATTATTAAACGCACTTAAGATGCGAAATTTGATTTCTGAACGCACTTTGTTTTCCACATACTCTTGAGGCGAAACATTTTTGTTATTAAACGCACTCTTGATGCAAAACACTTTAGTTACTAAACGCACTCAACAAGAAACTGAACTTCATAAACTCTTATTTTAAAATAAACGTTGTTGCTGAATGCAGTTCTGAAATTTAATTGTTTCTAAACAAACTCTTGATGCAGAAAAAATTTCTGAACGCACTTAAGATGCAAAAAAAAATATTCTGAATGCACTCAAAAAGCAAAAACTTTTTCATTGAACACATTTTCAGTGCATAAAATAAAATGGACTTTTTCTAATTATCCCACACTCAAAGCTTTCCTTGGCTTTCATATTATCTCCATGCAATAAAAAGCATGCAGGTGCTGTGCAGTAAACTTATCTCATTTTTACGCAATCACGCCTGCAATAAATGATATATCAAAATTGTAAAGGTGAAAAAAGATTTCTAAGAAGTGGAATGGGATGCCATAATCTTATCATTCTCCTGAACATTTTTCCACCAATTGTAAGCCTGCGTAGTAATCAATAGCACAAAAAAAATATTCATTCACTCTCAATTCATGAATGAATTTATGAAAAAATAAAATACTTGCTACAAAAATCGACTCAATCCGAATACAAAGGCCTATTTTATTTAGCAGAAATTATAACTGCATTAAAAATCATTTATCTAGCTTGCAAATCATTTATATCAGTAATGAACCATATTGTTTAAACAAGCTTTTATTTTTCCAAGAACTTAGGCAACAATCGCATTTCATTGTACATAGCATCTTCGCTCGATGGATTGTCGTAAGAGAAGAAAAAGTGTGCGAGAGAAAAAAAACCGCCGTCTGCGTCATCACTATTGCTTATCACATTTTTTTCGTTGTTATTATTTTTATTATTGTTGCTTTTATCACATTTAAGAATGTACGCAAACATTTGCTCCATTTATTGCTTTTACTCTTTTGCACCATATTTATTTATATAAAAAATACATATAGCACATCGTCATCGTCATCCTGTATTTTTTTTTCTTCCTCATTCATTAAGCCGCAACACATTTTTCATTCATATGCCGATGATATTTATAAATAAAAAAATATTATTATTTATTTTTAGTACACGTGAAATTAAACCAAATCAGCAGGACATTGGTAGGAAAATAACGAAGAAGCCAACAATAATTCCATCGTCAGTGTATAATAATAGTCGTACTACAAATAGTGGAACACCAAATAATTCTAGTAGCAGTAATAGCCTGAAACGTTCATTAGATGTCGCAGATCGATCGAATTCAAGCAGCAACACCAACAATGATAACTGCAGTCCAATGTTACATTTCACATCTCAACAACAAATTCCAGCAATTAATAATAGTCATAGTAATTACAACTCACAGGATCATCATGATTCATACCATCATCAGTCAAGTCATCATCACAATAATGCAATTAACGGTGTAGTCGGTGATGATGTTGATCATCAGCGAATGTCATCCAGTATGGGACATAACTTAAATCGTAATAATGGACAACAAAATCATCGGATTCCTGATATTGCACGAAAGCCAATTAAGTAAGTCTCTCAAAAAAAAAAAAAAAAAAACAAAAACTTACTGAAAGTGCTTTTTGAAATTATATAATTTCCAACGAACTCATTTACTTTACTTTTTGTTTTTAATTTTATTTGAAACAGGGAAAGACTTATACACTTATTAGCATTAAGGCCATTTAAGAAACTAGAATTGTATGATAGGCTAAATAGAGGTAATCAACTTGTGATATGAAAATCATTGAATAGATTATTAATTCAAATATATCTTCCTATTAATCTTTCTCTTTTGAACGTGTTAATAATAGAGGGTATTAGGGACCGAGACAGAAATGTCATCACAAATGTATTAAAATTAATTTCATTTGTTCGTGATAATGCTTACGTACTACATAGACATATATGGAATGATGTGCATGAAGATTGGCCATTTTATAGCGACCAAGATCGAGCAACACTGAAACGGTAAGTTTTACACTAAAATAAAATCTCTTTTTCATATTTAATTTTTTTGTAGAAAGTTATTAATTAAAACTAGTTTAGATACAATGTATATATATTGTATTGTATTATGACTGCTTTAATTAACATTCGGTATGAAATATTTTTCATTTCATTTCTTTTTTTTTTCTTCTTTTCATTATCTTTTCACCGTCTGTTGGATTGGATTGGATATTAATAGACGTAAGCCACAAAATTTAACACCACCATTATCAAGCGACGGAGGATCGTCTTCAACGTCTGGTCAAAGTCCAAATAGTCAACATAATGGTTCACCCCCGCCTATTGTAAAGAGGCCGTCATCTCAATCAACATCGAGTTTAAATAATAATATGAACAGTAAAATGAATTATGATAATGAAAAATATATGGAACCAGTTGCGAAAAAGACGCGAATTAGTCACTTTAGTAGTCGTGATGGTACTTCCTATATTTCTTCACGATCGCGGGACACTGATGATTACTTTGGGTAAATGTCATACATTCATTTTTATTAATTATTTTGCAAGCTCGACAAAAAAAAAATCAATATTTAGCAATAAACTAATGGATGATATATTTTTTTTTAATTTTATTCTTTAAAAATATACAGCCCAAGCATAACTCCAAATTCATTAGATGAAAGTAATAGTTTAGGACTCAATTTTACTGTGCTGAGTAATGATAGCATAAGCAAAAGAATTGCAATGAATAATAATAGTAGTAGTAAATGTAGTAGTAGGGGACAATCAAAAAGCAGTAATAACAGTAATGTAGATCGTTCTCAACGTAATGGCAATCGGACAAATGGAACAATTAAGACAACGACAAGCAGCTCATATGACACGATTAGAACCGATAATGGTGATATTAATATTGATAGCCTTCGGGAGACCTCATCGAAGAATGTATCAACCAAGGCTAAGTTTAGGTACGAAATAATAATCATTGAAAAATTGAATATTTTTTGGTGTATGGAATTGTAGATGTAATCATTTTGGCGTTACAATGTTAGTTGTCTCGACAATATTAAATTAGTCGAGTAGTTATGATGAAAATTATTGGAAATTCATTAAGGAATTTGTATGCACAAGTCTCGAGAACAAAGGTTCTCTTGTATAAAAGGGCTGAGCCCATAAAAATTCTTCTACGCGACGAAATTCCTTAGCAACTTAGTCATATCACTTTACACCTTAGTGCTGAAATTTTTCATGTCTAATGTCATGCCAATAATTTTACTTTCGCCTTCATTTTATTCATCAAGATTTTCAGTTGAATGGTGATTTAACGAATTTCAAACATTTGAATTTTATCAGATTTCGGAAATTCAAATTTTGAACTTTAATTTAACGAATTTCAAAAATTTGAATTTTAACGAACTTTTGTATTTTAAAATAATATTTGAACTTTAAATTTAACTGTTTTCTGAAATTCAAACTTTGAACTTTAAATTTAATTTTATCCGTTATTGGCTCAGAAATTCCTTTATCTTCCATAAATTGCATACATCTACATATTTTGATCGAATCATGATTTATTGAGCTTCTAGAATGAAAACTAATGAATTTAATCAATCATATAGTGACTATCCACCTATCACGTCGGTAGAACAACGTCGCAAATATAAGACTGAATTTGACAAAGATTACAGTGAATATCGACAGTTGCATACGATAATCGAAAAGACTCGTAATAAATTTACAAATTTGCAAGATGAATTACGTAAAGTACATTCGTCGGATGAGCGGAAATATCAGGTTAGTATAAAATATATATATAAAAAGGTCTAATTTTTAAATTTATTGATTATGCTTGTTTTTTGGTTTTACGTAATGAACAATATAATAAATAATCTTTTATGTCTTCTTTTCTTTTTACTTGCTCGCTCAGGAGATTCAAAATCAAATTATTCAAGAATACAGAGAGAACAACAATGATACCAGATTTCAAGATAAGAAACAGAGGTAAATCACATTTTATTTTTCGTCGTAAAAAGCAACACAATGTGCGACACAAACCAATTCTTTTTAAATTTCATTTGTTTCATATGTTTAATTTTTTTCCTATTCTTTGAAAAATCAATCTTTCAGGTTTGAATATTTACATGATAAACTGTCGCACATAAGAAAGCTCGTGGATGATTTTGATTCGCAACTAGTAAAAGGTAATGTCACAACTGATAATGGTTTATCATATAGTTCGCAACAAACTACGAACAGTAATACGCAATCGATACATACTGCCTACTGACACTGTCGACTGTTGTTGCTAATGCTTATTTAAAAAGAATGAAAAAAAAAATATAGGGTTTCAACAAAACAAAAGAAGAAGAATTGACATTAAAATGTTCTTTTATCAAACTGGCTGTCTCATGGCGAAATGATGGATAAGAAAAAAAAAGAAAATCATATATGAAGAAATTCTTATTGAGTTCTTTAGAATTAATTTTTAAGATTCTGATTCATGATAAACTGATACGATGATTTTTTTCGTCTCTTTGTTAATGTTTTTTTTACTATTATTATTATTTCATATTTAGATGAATTATATTGCTCGACTAAAGCTTGATTCTCATGTGGAGAAGAAGAATAGCAAAACACGTTAATTATATTACGAAATTGTTTTTTTTTTTCAAATAAAAATTGAATGAAAAGAAGGAAAGGCAAAAGTAACAAAAAAAAAGATATAAAAGATTTCCCATATTTCTCTTATGTATCTCTGAGCTATCTTATATGCAAAAAAAAGAAAAGAAAAAGTTTTTAAGTATGAAAGAAATTGATGAACAAGAAGAGAGACTTGTGAATGAAAATGACACATAAATGAAAGTAAAGAGGAGAATTCTTACATTTTTTTATAAAGAAAACTATTCCATTTGCGATGTAATAATAAGGTGAAATTGATAAGACAAGGATTAAAATTTTCTTCATTTTTTCTGTGTTGATACTAACTTATTAACTTATGATAAAAGTAAAACAAGAGTGTGTGAGACTATTTTTTCTCTCTTTCTAATTATAAACAAATTATCCATAAAATGGCATTGTTGTGAGGAATGACAAGCACAAAAAATGATGTTATGCAAACAAATTAGCGAATGCCCTCCATTTTAATTGTGTGAAAAGTGATGATTAATCTCAGATTTGTCTTAATTAATCATAATTTCCGTTTATTTTAAAAAGAATAATTCTTGTTGTGAGAAATTTTAGCCAATTCTTGTTTTTCCTTCTTTTTGGGGGATGGAGCGACTTGTTGATGATGATTAGGACTTGTTGCCAAAATTATTTACTCGAAAATTGTTGAATTTCTTTTTTAAAAACCTTACAAAAGCTAGGATTTTATTTTAACGGTTGATTTGAATTTAAAACCTTACAAATTTCTAAAATTTTGTGGAATTGAAGGGTTTTGAACTTTGAATTTAACGGTTTTGAACTTTGATTTGAATCAATTGTGAGCTCTCAACCTTAGAAGTTCATAAATCATTTAAATTCAGACTAAAATCAACAGTTTTCAAGTTTCTTGCAGTTGAATCATCCAATCAACATCGTCCAACCCCTTCTTAATCCTTAAAGAAATTCCGTACATTAAATTGTCTGTCTTCCTTAAAATGAATGAAATTTTTTTGATGTCTTTTGTCATATTATCCGGAATTCAAGAGAAAACGTCCAGAAGTCAAAGGAATTTTTATGTTATTTTTTTTCTATTGAATTGCCAATCGAAGTGCATAAATTTTTCTTATAAATATTAAAACAATTTGTGAAAGTGAAAGTAAAACTTCTTCTTTTGCGAATTTTTAATCACGTTTTTGCGGTAATGCGCTATTAATCGTGAACAATTCATCATTTAATTGCTTTTGTGCATTAAAATCCGGCCAAATACAAAATGCACTTCGTGTAACTTACAGCGATTTGATGACTTCTTACTCGTGAAGTCCAAGTTTTTTTTTGTGTTTTTAAATTATTGATAAAAACAAAAATCCAGTTTCGTGTGTCCATATATACATTTATAAATAACAAAATGATTATGAGGAATTTTCCAAGATTTCATCCAGGAATTTTTTAAAAGTGTCACATTTCCTCGAATGAAGATATTTGTTTTAAATATAAAAATTGCATTTGCTGGCAATTTTATTTACGTCCGTTCTTACTGCAATTAATATTAATGGAAGAATTTTGCCATTTTTTTGTCGTCGTAAGGAAACAAAAAATTATTGAATTCCAAAAAATATGAAAAGTTACCATCCAATTTAACAAGTTGAATGTTAAAAAAATTAAATTTGATCCTAGTTCAATTTTTTAATAATTTTTAACTTTCTATAGCAAAAAAGAATATGTTCATAATATCAGTAGAAGACTATAAAGTGCTATGCAACTAGCCACGCTTCTAGTATTTATTATTGCTGAAAATTTGCGTCATTAATATCAACCATACACATATAACAGCAGAGATCTAATAATATTTTTTGAGGCACGTGGCAAGTTTACAGAAAGAAAAATAAATTGAAAAAATGTGAGCGATAATAATTACTTAATCGCAATTACAGTATATATAGCAGATATAGACAATAGTGAATGTCAAGGCGAGTGGTTTTTGGGACTTTTTGTTAAAGCGTCAAGTGATGTTTTGCGATTATTTGAAGTTTTTCTAGAAGAAATTTCATTTGTCGTGTAAAGCTTTAATTGAGGATATTCTGTAGGGATTTAAAGTTTATAATAGACTATTAACAATCACAATCTGAGATTATATGATGACTATCTAAGCGTCAAACAAAATAAATTCTAGCGGATTTTTAAAATTCAAAATTTAACGGTGAAATTATTTTTGAAACTCTCGAAGTTCAAAATTTCAAAATTTTAGTAACGGTTGGAAAACTTTAAATCAATCCACAAGACTGCAATCTAATTGACAACCAACACATCACAAACTTTAAATCTTACCAGAATCAGGAACTTAAAATGACCAATAAGCCATCCCTTGAAGATTTTAGAAATGGAACAAGAGTGAATTACAGACTAAAGTTTAAAAACATTCACAGTTAATGGACCAGGGATAATTTTTTGCCTCTTTTTAAAAACTTAATTAAATGAAAATAATTGCGAATTATATTTTTGTTTTCATATTAAAAAACTTTTTTTTCGTAACGACTATTTTCTACTGTTGTGATATTTATTTTAAATTTGAAAGTACTTTTCATTTTATTTTAGTTTTTCTTTTCTTGTTTTTTAAATCTTTTTTGTTGGCATAGCGAAAAAAAAAAATGAAAAGGAATTTGTTTAAATAAATGATGGATGAACAAAGACTTCCGCACACGAAGTTAATTTTTTTGATATTAAGAGACTGATGGTTGTAAATGAATGAAACTTACTAACTTCTTTCTTCTCAGCATAAGAAATATTTGAAATCCTCTTCAATTTTCCATCATGTGCCATCAGTTTGATAGCTTATTAGTCAATAATTATGTTTTCTGTTTTATTGATTCTTGACCTCGCCTAAATAGTAAATAAATCCAGTTACGAAAGGGTGTATAATTAAGAGTTGAGCACAATTACATAAATAGTCAAATTATTTTAGCACATTTTTTTTCGTCGTCGTTGCATTCTTTTCTCCCACACACAAGCGAGAGAGAATAATCCGAGGAGTCGTTTATAAATGACGTCAAACATTGGGGTTCTGGAGTTTTGTGTAACATGAATTTTTCTTCATATAACCGTCATTTATGAACAGCCCTAAAGATAAATTGCTTTGCAATGATCCTTTATAGTCATAGTCTGTGATACTCATCTAGAAATAATCGAAATGAAACGTCTTCGACTAGTTGAATGGAAGTCTTTTGCAAGCTTAAAGTCACGTGTAGAAAGCCATTTAAAAAAATTTCTTCTAGATTAATTTATAAACGATATTAAAAATGCAAGACTGGCATTTTTCAACTAGATCTATGACTTTCGATTGGATCCTGATTCCGACTATTATTTTTCTTGACTGAGAACTTCCTTCAAAAAAAAAACTTTGCTTGTTGTTATAAATCTCTCAACTATTAATTGTACATCTTCCATATCCTGAGGCTTGAGGTGTATCCAGTTTGGTGGTTATTAGCTAAAATTTGAAGATTGAGTCACTGGATGCACCTTTAACTCCAGCAATGAGATAAAAAGTCTTTGTGTCAAATATATTTTTATTTATTGAGGATTCATTAACTGAATTCTTGAAATTTCCAAACACCCGTCATTAGCAAACGACCCCTTCGATACCAATTTTTTTTTTCGAGTTTGTAGATGCCAAAATCACATACATAAATATTTAAAAGAATTATACACTCTGAGTAATCTAAAAGATTTATTTCAATCCCGTGAAGCACACACACATTTGAAAAAGCAGATATTTATTTCATTGAAAAAAAAAACAAAAAATGAAACAAAGTTGATATTCATATCAAGGTGTTTTGTTTTGTTTTTATTTTTTGTCATAATATCCAAAAAGTGGGGTTGTTTAGTTATGACGTTTCATGTATACTAGGCACCCAAGTCCTGTGAAGCTTTATGAAAATTAATAGAAGCAGAATTGACTTCTTTAAAGCGTAATCATAAAGCATAACAAGTTGGGTTACCTTTAAATCAAGGTTTTTGATAAACGTCATTTATGAACGACCCTCAAAACAATACTATGCAATTTTTAAGTATGAAAAAAATGACTCAAAATGTATGTATGTAAAGAGAGCGAAAATAAAAAGCTATAAAAGTAACTAGATAATGATGATTAACATACATATTGCAATGAACGGACAAATTTTATAAATTGAATTGTTGTACTTGCCAAAATAATTAATCAGCAATGAATTATTAACTATTATTGTGAGTGTGGAGAGATAAGAATTTGAAACACTTTTTTTATATATATTATTGAGTCTGATGCTCTTGCTTCTTTTAGTTTTTTGCATTAAATTAAATAATATTGTAGTGAAAAATGAAATAAATTTAAATAATTGAGCAGAGTCAAAAATGCTCAAGAAAATTTAGTCAAATTAATGAAAAAGGAAAGAAAATCCCAAAGTATCAGACACGTTCTTTTTATCCTTCTCTCTCTCTTTTTCAATTCCATTTTTAAAAAAGAAGAGAAAATTTTCCATTTTTGTACATTTTTGTTAAATTTTGTTTTGTTAAAAATATATTATTATTTTTTTTGAGATTGGATTTGAAGCTGTTTTTTTGTAAATGGAATCGTCATGATATGGAACGAAATATGCATAAACATGCCCTTCAGTTATCATTATAAAAATGTCGCGAGTACTTATTAGATGCGATGTTATAATCAGAAGTAAGAAGGGTGTTGTAATGTCTTAGCCAAGAGTGTATACTTTTCATTGGCAGTTATTGAGAATGATTTATGAATTGTTTAATGGAAATTCTAAACGGCAGATTCTAGCTATAAGTGAATTTATGGTTGTTTTATTTGATGGACATAAAGTGGCATAGTCGCAAGATATTAAAAAATTCTATGAACTTAAAAGAAGCATTACTAATGATATGTAAAACTTCAGAACAATTAAACCAAGTTCATAAGATATTACGAACGCTATGACTTGATTTAGAAACTTAAGGATTTAAATTAAAGGTTTTAAATGATTTTCCAAGAAACTTAGGATTGATTGAAATTCAAAATTTGTGAATTTTTAATCCTAACTTCAAAACATTTCAAACCTGAACTATTTCTAATCAACGCACATCCTTAATATAATCTTAGCAACACTTAAGCGACTATCAAAAATTAAAAATACAAGCTATATCCTAAAAGCATGAAAATTTGATGATAAATACTCCCAAACCTAACCTTAAAATTTTGAATCAATCAACTTGCTGATTGTACTATCTTAAAACTTAATGAATCAAGTTCTCAACATGACTTTGAAGATTGTTGATAGTGTAGATCTCTCTATTACTGCTGTATACTAATTTAAACCAAGTCGGTGTAAATTGGGAATAGAACCCACGCTTCAAAATTGGTGTTCTCTGATTATCAAGTCGAAGATTCGTTCGAATCAACCACCGAAAGACTTATAAATTTACAAACAGTTTCACGATGAGCCTATTTAGTTTTGATATGATTTTCAAGCCATATTCAAAAATAGTAAGTTGTGGCAAGAATTGATACTAGATTTATTTTCATTGCTCGAAGAATTTTCTCAGAAATTGTTGAGAATCTCGAGTGTTGAGTATAAGTAAATTATCAATTCTTCAACTAGAAGAGCTTTAGATTAAGGTTCAAAGATTTAAATCAAAATGTTTTGAACTTGATCTTGAAAGATTGAGAAGATTTGAAATCTATAGCTAAAGATTTGATTCAATATTTGATAAAAAAAAAAGAGGTCCTTAGTAGGAGTATTAAATATCAAAAGAAAAGTCAACTGCTTGAAAAGAGTTTGCCACATAAATTAAAAATTAAATCTCCGTTTAATGTACGTACTTATCCATTCGAACAAATTAGACCATACATAATATCTGGAACTGAGAAGAAAGCTTCCAGTAGTCAGGAAAAGAAGACTCAGTGAACAATAAAATCCGTACAATGAACCATAAAAATTCGCATTAGTTGAATCTGCACACGGAAGATATCCACAAAAAAAAAACAATTTACAATCAGCTTCAATTCCTGCCTTACTTTTACTCTTTTGATTTAAAATATTTTGTGTGTATGTAAAAAAACTATGTTGAAAAATTATTTGGTTGATTGATGCAAAAAAAAAGAGGAAAATGACGAAAAAAATATGCTTTTTGAGGAAAATTAAAAGAGATGACGAAATCACATTAAAAACTATATAATACATATTTTATTTAATCATAGCTTAAATGATAATGTTAAAAGAGATGAAAAAATCATAAACAATATAATTAAAAAGCAAACGATTTTTAAGAAATCACACAAAAAATCACAAAAAAAAGAAATTAAATTTAATTTAAATAAAAAAAAAGTTTATAAATAAAAAAAAAGTTAAAATTTTAAGGCAAAACAGAAAAAAAAAATTCTCCCAGTTTGAGAATATTCAATATTTGAAGTGCTCCTCCAAAAAACAAGAAATAAAGAAATGAAAGATACACAAGATTTATATATACACACATTGTATATTTGCTCCACTGTACCCCAAGCCCCCCCCTCCTAGCTGACTACTCCCTCAAGTAAGAGATTGAGGTGTAGGGTCGGTGGCAGGACGAGATGGGGGATGGGGGAATAATCATATTAATACTACGGATTATGGGGGAGATGATAAATGAAATAAAAAAAAAATTCTCAAACTAAAAAAAAAGAAAAGGAAAGAATCCTACATTATTTTTAAAAAAAAGAGAAATGAAGAAAAAAAGATATTAAGGAATTATATATATATACATATACATATATTTTTAAAGCCAATTACACACTGAAAAAGAAAAGTTGTATTTAGAAGAAAAAAAAAATCCATTTTAATTGTGCCTAGAAAAATGCTACATAGAAGCAAAGCAAAGCATAAGAATGAATCGTTTGTACTTCATATTCTTATACCCAAAATTGTGTATGAGATGAAAAAAAAATTCTCTCGAAAAAAAAATGATAAAAAATTTAAAAAAATGTAACAAAAACCAAATTATGATGAAAAAAAAAAAGTTCACAATCAATTGTCAAAGTTGCAATTTAAATTAACAAAAAAAATGGAAAATCAATGATGCATTTTTCTTGATATGAGCACATCAATTTATACTATAAAATGGCAATTTTTATTCTTAACTGTGTATTTTGATGTGTTTTGCACATAACAAAAATGGAACCAAGAAAAGCGATTAAACTTACCATTTTAACATTTGAGATATTTTTATTAATTATAATGATGAAAAATGAAGAAATCATTAAAGATGATGATTAAATGAAAAAAGTAAACCAAATTGTGTCTTTATTTATGCTGCATTAGTCTCATTTACAGCTTTAGGGGCAAGTTTCTCGGTGTTCCAAGCATGTGATGTACCTTAGTATACAAAATAGGAGTAGCTGTAGGTTTATACTGAGAATCCAGCCTTAGGAACCAAATGATATTCATCATAGGATTACCATTTAAACAAGTCTCAACTTTATCTTTTACTTTTTAATCTAATATATCGTTTCAGGATTAAATCAGGTGTTATGAAGCTTTTTTTCATTCACTTAGCAACTATTTGAAGATATAACAACAATCATTCGAGATTGGCAGATGAAAGTGAGGTTAGAACGGGCATATTTTAAGGAAACATTAAACACATATTAGCAGGTAGTCATTTGGAATATACAAGGTAAGTTGAGTGTTAGCATATCGAAAATTAATTGATGAACAACTTTAGAGTATAAGGTGGAGCAACAACAAAATAAACTATTGGAAGTAGCTAAGAAAAGAAACTTGTTCAAGAACTTTACCCTATGCTTCACAGTGGATCAATTTAAATTAATAATCATTGTCTAGCAACAGAGAGCAGCTCTGACGACTATGTTAAACCAATTCAGGTTTAAAGCTCTTTTCAAAAGCAAACAAGCCTCAAAAATCACTGCCTTACACCTACCTCTACCTCCTTACTCTTATTCATCACTACTGAAAAATAACACCCAACAGGAACACTAAAGAGACGCAAAAATATCGTGTTCTATGACGTCATCAAATAGAAAAGCTTGTGGATGAATGTTTTTCAGCCCACGCAATTCAAATACGAAGGAACAAAAGTGTCATAAAAGAGTCTATGATGGTGATACCAAATTTATTCTATATATAGATTGTAGCTTCTAAAATAATGCGTCTATAAATGATCATCCTTCTTGGAAAGGATTATCAAAATAAATCTCGAGTCAATTCTTGTTTGCTGTACGTTGTCGAGGATTTCAAATTGTTTTTATTTGTTGATGTTTTTGTTTTCTTTTTTAAAGCTTCTGTATTTTTAGAGCTTCATTGCTCTGTGCGGTATTACGTAATAATCTTATCCTTTGTTCATATTTCTTGAGAATTCAGTGTGATGACATTCCAATTCCATGACTATTATCCCAGACAATTAAAAGCTTTTTATTGGCTTCAGAATTCATGATGAAACTGGTTTTTAATCATTTAGCAAATTTCTTATAATGTTGTTAAACTCAAGTTGTATTGACTGTGATGAATTTTACAGGTCTTGAGTTCATTTATATTGTGGACAAGACACTTAACTGTCTATTAAAATATAAATCATGAGGTGAAATGATTCTTTGTATCCTTTACATTAGGAGTGGTTAGAACCAATTTTACAAATTTAAGAACCAATGTCAAAAGTTACAAATCCATCAAATTTAAAAAGTTCGAAAATTTTAAAATAAATTTCAAAAATCCATAAAATGAATTTATACGACAGCCATTAATTATTTCTGGCTACCTACTCCCCAAATACCTTAAAGACACCTAGCATTTCCAATAAATTTTAATAAATGCCTTTTTCCTACTCAAATATTCTTTGTTTTATTGCTTTACGAGTTACTAATTACAAATAACTGAGAAGCTTTCCTTGCGATAATTATGATATTATACATATACTTAACATCCATGCCTAATGACCTTATGCAATTAGTTCTTTTTCCTTTCTTTTGCTTATTATCTGTTTTTGTGCTTCCTACCTTTTATCGCTTTATTAATTAGCCTGTCTAAGGAACATACATCACCTCTGCATATCGCATGTTTGATAGACCATAACTGAAGGAATGAAGGCAAGCATAACAAAATGTGAACTTATTTATGTAAATTTGTATAAACTTTATTTAAAGGAAGAAGAAAATGTCGTTAAAGTATGAGTCATGTCTTATGACATACAAGAAAAATGAAAAAATGAAATTTGGAATCAAAAAAAATCCATATCTTGTTCTAATTCTATCAACCCGAAGTAAACAGCTGAGTATAAAATTTTGTTCGAGAATTATTATTTTCAGGAGCAGCTTATGGGAACCACGCTGGCTTTTCAGATTCAGTCATTTTTGCGCTTCTCTCGGAAATGCTCTCTCCAGAATCACGAGTTACTGATTTGTAAATCTTCTTTGTCTTGTCAACTGTCCATTCAACACCGTCACCAATTTTCTCGCCAGCCTTTCTCACCCAACTGCCAATGTTTTGTGATGAGAATGTTTCTAAAAAGAAGTAAGGAACTTAATTAATAAAAGTTTTAGGCTTATTATACTCTAAGGTACAATATAATAATCACTACCGCCATATATATTAAACATCATCTCTGTATGACCGAGTACTAATAAGGATAACGCCAATTTATCCATTAGCAGTAGCCGCCCATTTTTCTAGTCACATTAAGATTCATAAATTACATACCTGGATCAATATCAACGTTAATTTTAGGATCTTCTACCATCCTGCAATTAGCTTGATTAATAATTGATAAATCAAAGACATTGACTCCATAACTTGTAAGGCGTGATCGAATCTTATCGATGTATGCGCGATCAATATCCTTAGTACGTGATAAAATTGTGGCAGACTGTCGATGAGCACCAACAGGTAATTTTTGGCATGTGAATATTCCAGCATAATTATCGTAGTCTGTCATAAAGACTTTAAAGTCGACCTGACCAGGTAAGACATTTAATGGAAATCTAACGCGCATTTTGGCTGGAATATCACTGTCCTTTACTTCCAATTCTCCTGTGTAACTATAACGATGTGAGACGGGAGCTAGTCCAATTAAATAATCTTGTGATAATTGTTGGATGTGATAAAGTCCAGGCTCTTGTTGAGTGAAATTATAAATTACACATTCTGAAGCAGTTGCAGTCTTTTGTACGGCATACCAAATCCCAAGGAACTAAAAAATAAGAAGGAAGAATTTAATTTAATTTGAATAATTACGTGCTGATTCAAATCTGAGTTCAAGTTCAGTGATTTTATTGTAAGTTTATAAATTGATAAGGAAGTGTTTATGATACAATTAAACGAATGACAATAGCTTTCTGGATTGTGATTCTATAAGTTGTGCATCAATGATTTGAATTTCCGGATTGAATTTCTTCATTGATGGATCAATAACAAGTCAACAGTAAGTAGACGATGATTGAAGTATTGGAAATTAAGGAATTAGATATGGAGTCAGAAAGTATGAGATGATTTAATTCACAATATTGAATTTTAATTTTGAATTTAAAGTTGATTTGGAAAATGGATTTGAATTTTAACTTTTGTCCAAACTTATTAAACTCCTTTTAGCGAGGATGTCCTAACACTGCGGCTTATTTATGTCATTATAAAAATGAAATTCTTAACTCAATTAGATTTTAAAACTCACAAGAAAATGAGTTCAATGAAGTTTTAAGTTAACTCCAAACTTGGCAGTAAATGTACATACTCATGCGTGAAAATTCAGCAATTATAATGAGAAACTAGTTCAAAGAAAAATTTGAAAAGTCAACAAATTGAAGTTTGAAGAAATATTCAAATTTGATCTAAAGTTGTCAAAATCTTTTTCTCCATTCTTTTAATTTTAATCCTTCAGATTACGAAAATTCCTTTTAATTCTTTTCATAAGCCTTTAATTCTTATTTACGTACATATAAATGCACATTCAACAGATGTCTACAATAACTGACTATCAGAACATTTTCTCAAAACATTCATGACTCATAAAAAGAAAACAAAGAAATGTCAAAACAGGAAAAGTTCTGACCACAAACGACCAGATTAAACACACAGCATAAAATTTTAAAGTAATAATAAATGTCATTAACATAATCTCTGACCCAAAAGTCATTGATAAGAGATTCTGCATAATCAAGTTAATCAGTAAGAAAAAAAGATTCGCAAAAAACATAAACAAAATTTCCGACAGTAAAGACTATTCTGAGAATTTAGATGATGATTATGCTGTATCAGTGACTCAAACGGGATATTTCTGATTTGTTTTAATTTAATCAAGTATAATGTATAACGGCAAGCAGATTTACTACCATCATAATTTGTTTATTACATTAAAGACTTCCTAGTAAATCGTATGATTCATAGCGAGTCTAATTTGTGCTACTTAATAAACAACATACCTTTCTCATGTCAAAACTTTGCATTGGCTCGACACTTGGGCATTCTCCTGATTTGTACTTATGAGCTAAGGCACAACTTATCAGTGCAAAAATCACAATTAGCAAAAATTTCATCTTAAATAATTTTTTATATATTTTTATTTTTTGAACGCTCACTCAATTTAACTGTTCAGGTCTCTTTTAAAAACACTACTGAAAAGTAGCTCGCTCTCAACTCAATTTATATATATTTGCTGAGCTTATGCTTGTATACATTTAAAGAAAGAGAGAGAATAGCTTATTGTGTAGTCACAAGTGGCTTTGATTATTCTCAATTCAATGTATTGCGTTCAATTAGACTGCATTGGATTGAACTTTATAATGTACAAATACATATTTATAAACTATATAATAGCATAATGGTCAGATTTATTATATTTTATTACAAATACCAAAGATTAAGCACAATTCATAAATGGAGAGACGTGATTCATCGGTATTGCACTTTAGAGACTTCAGAATCGTTGAATCTTTTCCTTAGTTATATTCTCAATTGACATCAAGTATTTCATTTTGATTAAATAATTTTTTGCTGCCGCATAGTTTTTAGACTGATATGCTGACGCGAATTTATTATTAACGTCTGCTATCTCATCCTGTAGCTCATCAAGTAACACTAAAAGATCATCTTTTGTTTCAGCCTCTTCAACCTGCAAAGGGATATTCGTTGAAAATCAATTACTGCTGCAAGAATTCCATAATTCAAATTTAACGGATTTCTAAAGTTTGAATTTTGTTTGATTTTAATGGAATTTTGGAATATTCCAGTCAAATTTTGAACACTTCCAATGGAATGTTGTGTGTCACAAGTGACAATCAATGTAATTTCACTTATAACAAGCACAAACTTACAGTCTCATTTTTTTCCATAACTTCCATCAGAAATTCTGGATCTTCAATTGTATTCTTTTCAGATATTGTGATTCCTTTCAAACTCAATAGATATTCGCCTCGAAGAACCGGCGTCTGTAAAGTTTTATATGCTTTATTAACCAATGAACTCCATTCCGAGCTCAAACTTTGTTCTGCTTCACTTTTTGTTGAGAATTTATCTGGATGTATTTGTGACTGAACATTCCGGAATCTCTTTGTCAGTTCCTTCAAATTAACTTTGGGGTCTTTTTGGATGCCAAACAAATCAAAGTAATCCTCAAAAGACTACGTAGTAGTTACAATCATTGCATAATTAATTAATAATTTTGTCGACTTCCTACTTACAATTTTAGGAACTCTCTGTATGTGATTACATGAATTACAGAAGATTTCTACATTTTCATGCAGTGTCGCATGACAATTCCAGCACATTTTGGAGAGCTGACAATAGCTCCTTGCTATCATAAAGTTTTGAACATTTAGGTTCCTTCTTTGAGCCGTAATTTGACGAAAATTGCAAGTTAAAAATCTTTCAAAATTTCTGATCATTTTACTTCTTCAAACTAGCACTGATGACACTGTTTTGATTACTATTATAGCGCACTTTCGCTGCACATAAAATTTAAATTAATAGAAGTAGGAAAAAGTATTAATTTTGACAAGTTAAAAGCTACACTGAATTCTACAAAACTTAGAATATAACGTGCATTTGAGATTCAAAATTAGTATCAAGTTCAATTTTTTCGTGAAGCTCAAAATTCATAATTGTAATTTTGTTAAGGGGCCGTTCACTTATTACGTTACGCAAAAAACGATTTTTTCACACCCCCCTCCCCCCCCCCCCCCCTTGTTACAATATGTTACAACTCACCCCCCCCCCTGAACGTTCATAATTTATTTTATCATTAAAAAGGTGGAAAATTTAAAAAAAATGTTTTTGGTGTGAATTTGTAAACAAATTTTTTCGTGAACTTTTTTTAAAAGACAGACGACAGTTGGAACGTTACATACTTCTTGACCCCCCCCCCCCCCCATGTTACATTTTGTTACAATTTTTCACCCCCCCCCCCCCCCCTCCCCCCTAAAATGCGAACATAATAAGTGAACGGCCCCTAAATTAACTTAAGTATTAATGGTGATTTTAATACTAATCCTAATATATTAAAGCACTAATCATCCACAATAAGCTAGTGATGGTTAGAGCTTAAAATATTAGACAGACAGACAAATAAGATCAAAACAAGCAAAGATAATAATTTTAAAAAAGTAGATAATTGTTTTGATTAAATTATTGTTGAAAATAAAAATAAAGTGCTGAGCAGTGCTGAGTATAAAAGAACGTTACGTGAGTGATACAGTTTGCAGCAAGGGCGTTGCGATGTTCGAAAGAAATAATAAAGAATGAAAAATAGAGAAAAAATATTAATATAGTGAGAAAATTGAAACCAACAACTACTGAATGATTTTTACTTTAAGTAGTTTTAATTTCGGCTCTTTTAGAAGTCAAAAACATCATATGAAAGGAGCTAAACAGTGTAAATAGAGTCAATAGCTCTAAATAAAATCTAATATTGTACAATTTAAAATATTAAGTGTGAAAAAAAGTTAAAATAATAATTCAAAATAGAGCAAGGTGAATAATATAATTAGTGTATAATCCTCAATAAATGTTTCATTCATCATAATAATTAGAGAAGAATCATTAAATACATAGATATGATAAAGAAGAATCTTACAGAAGTGCGCATATATTCAAAGTGAAAAAAAAATCTTTTTTTTTGGGTAGGAAAAGAACTGATGAGAAAAATGATGAAATCTTATAAAGCATACGATAGATTAAATCTATTTTTGATGATACTACTATTACTCAATATTTTCTAGTCTATGAAATAGTTTAGGGTGTATGATACAGGCTCATAAGTTAAAGTGTCTGGATGTAAACGAGAGAAAATTTTTATGCATTAAAAGCTACACAGAGAGTGATTCATAGTTCTATGGTGTGATCTATAGTTATATACAATTGTATTTGTATTAAATTTGCTTGCTTTCTCACTCCAATATCGCTTTTCTGCATTATTTATGTCTTTAAATGAATTACAAAACAATTGATAATGCGATTATCATTCAATATTCATTCAGTGAATGTTTATTTACCCTTTCATCCGGTCGGTCAGTAGCTATAAAATAATCGGAACACGAAAAGCATACAATATTAATAATAAAAATATTATTAAAAAAGCACATACACCAACTAGTGTTGTATTGAGACTTGTAAAAGGCAATTATAAGTTATTCAGGTGCAAAAGTAATATATCCAAACATGTTAGATAGATGCCAATGACTTTTTCGATACGAGACCTTCTACAATCTTTTTTTCTTATTTTTTTACCATTAAATCTTTAAGAAATATGTTGTTGGTGGTCATGGTAACTCTATTTGAACCTTATAATAGTTGGCATTTGGTGCGTAGCATGCTCATGCACTTATGGAATATCATAAAACATAAGCTAATTTGACCTTGCTAAAGTATTCGATGTAATTTACATCATTCGCGAGCTTTATACTCATTAATTTATTTTTGGATATTGACTTTACTTCCGCTGCTTCCACAATTTCTTTAAATCCACAAAAATAATATTAATTGCATGTGAATAATAAGTCCGTGGCTTGAATAATTAATTTACAGAAATTAACACTTCGTGTCAAAGAACATAGAAAGGCTTAAAAAATCGATTTCTTTTTACATGAGATTTAATAGCCATTATTGACCTCGACATTGAAATATGTGATTTCATTTTGATGTTGTCTCATGCCAGGAGAAATCGAAAATGAGGAAAAATTGACAGCTATTAGGGCTTCTGTCCTTTGTTGAGATACAGGTGCTTTGTGCCGGTTCTTAATTGTCTAAATAAAGAAGTTGACTTTCAATAATGCTGTTTATGGTTTGATGTTGCAGTTTTGTAATGCACATGTCTATAAAAGTCAACAAATGCCATGGATTCAAGTTGGGAAAAGTCAATGATATTAGATCTGTTTCGTAAAGATGGTTTGAACTTCGTTAAAAGTCTTGAACCTAACCAAAACGTTAAAAACCTTCAAGTCACAAAATTCCAAAAATCTGATGTCATTAAGCAGGAAATTTGATAAATCAGAACCCCTAACTTATCAATTATTTCCGACACTTCATGACTCATGAGACTCTTCTAATATTTATAGAAGAAAAACATTGTTCAAATCAATTAAGACTAAATCACGTTTTCAAAAGCTGAGAAGTTTGACAAAAACAAGAATTAACAAACGTTAAACTTTACGTTCAATATTTGACATTCCATCGACTGCTGCTAAAAACATTTCTAAAAGGCAATACTTGATTGGTTTCATGACGACTTTATATTTGGAATAAAAATAATATAGAGAGGATTGATGTGAAGAAGCCGCCTTGACCGGCAACTCATGAAAATTGAGTAAACGAATACATGCAAAATGAGAAAAGTGTGACAAAACAAAGGTGAATAATAATAATAATAGATGCTGTTGTTTTGCACGACCACAGATGGAAACTCTATTACATTATGGAAATCTAAACGTACTGTAATAAGACCTTTATAATGAATCGCGTGATTCTACTATCAGTAATTACTAATTTTACTCCGACTCATTTTATTTTCGCTCACATCTACTTCAAAATACAAAAAACCGGTTAGTGTAACACTACAAACATGGAGAAAATAATACAATGATGTAGAATTGCGAATGAAGTCACATTGTGCATAAATTTAGAAATGCAAAAAGAATTATAATTAAATTTACTTGATTATGAAGAGAGTGAAAAAAAAGGTAATCGATTCAACAAGCAAAGCTAGCCTGGTCGAGTAGCCTTAAAAATACAATGAATACTAAACAGAATTATTCACCCATCATTGGAAGGTCTTCAAAGAAAACTGTGTTCATTAATTCATGTGATGAATAATGAGATAAGCATTTGATGAGGTCAGAATGTCGTACAAAGTATGTCTGTGTGAGCATGCATGGGAAGGAAATAATGATAAAGTATCATCTCTTGTTACATTTTCTCTTATCAAATTGATTTATATGCGCCCATTTTCACTGTGTAATGTTCTTTGCTCTGTTTAGATTGAAATCACCTGATTTACAAGATTCAGTATTGCGTCATTCAAGCTTCCAAAATATATTTGAAGAAAAATATTCGTACGAATGCGGAAGAAGTCGTTTCTTAACTATCGACCCTCGAAATATATTTTTATAATGCTAATAAAGAAGCTTGTGGCGTGATTTCCAAAATACGTCTCTATATTCGTATGGCTTACATTATAATTTTTTTGCACCTTTTAAAAGTTTTTTCTTGAAAGCTTTTTCAACAGCAACTTGTTTGACCATCGCACACAAATGAAACCAAAAGTCTCGTCTTCGTTTATTTTATTATATTAAGAAATGAGCCTTTCCACGCGAAAATGAGACTCGGTATTTTTTTGGTTTTGGCTCAATAAAACCATGAATAATGGTCCAAACTATAATATGTTATATATTTTTGGAAAGCTCTCGAGTTAAGCTTTCAATGTGGGTGAAAAAAAATTAATTATATTATCAAGGGTTGGAAACTTTCAGGTTTGAAACTGTCGATCAACATACATTTTTGCGCGACACGCTGTGCCTTACTCTTTAAAGCAAACAGGATTATTTTAATTGAATTAGATTAAGTAAATAAGGTATTAATGCAAAAAGGAAAGTTTTTCAAATTATTCTGCTTTGTTTTATTTTTATGAGTTATCAAACCTTGGTAATTTTTCTGTTCTTTTTTAATAAAAATGCTTATATCTTGTCCAAACATTCGAATTAATTGATGATTTAAACGCTGTTTATCTTATTTTTTTCATACTTTAAATTTGAGCTCAAAACTACTTCCAAGGGGTGGAAACTTTTGTAAAAAAAAGTTATCAACCCTTGATTTTTTTCTTTTTTTCTATTTAAACTATTAATTAAAATTGTTATTAAATATTATGAACTAGAATAACATAGTTTTTATTAAAACTAATAGAAAAACATAAAAACTTAAAAAAAATTAATGCATAAATGATTTTTCATGGTTTTTCTTGGGATCTGTATCAAAATCGTCTTTTTATACTCTGATTCCGTTTCTGATTCATGAATAATTAATGACAATGAGATACTGAGATATAAAAAGACGATTTTGATACAGATCCCAAGAAAAACCATGAAAAATCATTTATGCATTAATTTTTTTTAAGTTTTTATGTTTTTCTATTAGTTTTAATAAAAACTATGTTATTCTAGGTTCATAATATTTAATAACAATTTTAATTAATAGTTTAAATAGAAAAAAAAGAAAAAAATCAAGGGTTGATAACTTTTTTTTACAAAAGTTTCCACCCCTTGGAAGTAGTTTCGAGCTCAAATTTAAAGTATGAAAAAAATAAGATAAACAGCGTTTAAATCATCAATTAATTCGAATGTTTGGACAAGATATAAGCATTTTTATAAAAAAAAGAACAGAAAAATTACCAAGGTTTGATAACTCATAAAAATAAAACAAAGCAGAATAATTTGAAAAACTTTCCTTTTTGCATTAATACCTTATTTACTTAATCTAATTCAATTAAAATAATCCTGTTTGCTTTAAAGAGTAAGGCACAGCGTGTCGCGCAAAAATGTATGTTGATCGACAGTTTCAAACCTGAAAGTTTCCAACCCTTGATAATATAATTAATTTTTTTTCACCCACATAGAAAGCTTAACTCGAGAGCTTTCCAAAAATATATAACATATTTTAGTTTGGACCATTATTCATGGTTTTATTGAGCCAAAACCAAAAAAATACCGAGTCTCATTTTCGCGTGGAAAGGCTCAAATATACGTGAATTTTCCATCTAAGAATATTAATTTCTTGTTTTGTCGCCGTCTATCCATTAGAATGATTTTGTCAGAATTAAAATTTTTAAGGAATTTAATGGAATAATATTGACCGATTGACAGAATGACTGGATGTTTTTAAAATTTTATGTAACTAGGGCATTTAACTTGACAAGTATTTGAACTAGACTGTGAATAAATAATAAGTTTATTACATTTTCTAAAAATATTGTTACATCAATGTGACAATATGTAGTGAGAAATAGCTTTAGTCAGCAGATCTTTGTCTCGTCATCAATTAAATTTTAAGTTTCTAACAATTGTGTGTCGAATTACTGTGAAATTAATGAAATGACAAATTCCACTGGATTGATTTTTAATTTACTGAATGCTTTTTGAAATTTTAATGGAACATTCCATTCAATCCTGGAAGTTTATCAAATTTTGTATGGAATATGTCAAAAAGGTTGAATGAAATTTGACTAGAAAAATTGGAAAGTGACTGGAAAGTTTTAAAATACCTGGAAGGAGTCTGGAATATTTTAAATTGCAAAATCCTTCCATTGGAATGTTGAAGGTTTTCCATCAATAAATTGCAAACTTTGTCTAAACTACAACACATTCATGACATTCTCAGAACTTGTCACACATATCCCAGTCCCTTTCGTTCAAATATCATTTTTTTTTATCATGAAGAAATAACATGTTACCTCTTCTAAGCCTTGAGCTTATACCGAGATATCGGAGTATAACAAAATTTCATTATAACAAGATTATTAATAATGCGAGATGACGAAATTTATAGGAATCATCTCACATTCGCTTATTCAGAAAAGTCTGATGTCATTCATATTTAAAGGTGCACAATTTCTACACCAAAAGTCGTAAGTTTATCGCTTAAATCCTTTTGGGGTCGTTCACTTACTACGTAACGTTTTTAAGGGAGGAGCGGGAGTCTAAAAGATCGTTTTTTGGTGTTATGCTAAAATTAATGCTTTAGATAACGATAGCCACTCGAAGCTTGGCATCATTTATAAACGACCCCATTTCTAAAATCCCCTTAAATTTAAACCACAGCCATAGTCCAAATTCCCACAAGAAATCATACCAAGGAATAATCTAAAAAAACCATTTCTATGTATGCGTTCTCAAGTTGTTGCTTATTTGTCATGAAACGTCAGGCAACAGCAAAAAGTTATTTACATTCAAGGTAAAAACCAGAAGAACAGTGACAAAAAATTATCGAAGCACATCACGATACGTACAAAAGTTTTTTTTTATATTTTTTCATCAATATATAGGTACTTAGAAAATTTTGTGTCGTCGCTATTTGAAAAGAAAAAAATAATAATAATAATAAAAACAAATATAAAAAAACATTTTGTCATTCACTTAGTCAATGAACTGATTAATGAATATTCATAAGTATAGAATTGAGAGATATTCAGACAGTACTTATGACATGTGCGATGAGAACTTCCTTACATGACATTATAAAGTGAAAAGGCTTATTTAGATTGATAGGGATTTAGCATGTGACTGATTAATGCTTTATGAATTCCAATAAATCTTTTTATCGCACTCGCGTCTTCTTCTTCCTTCCTGTGATCAAGGCATGAATGTGTTGATTTTTTGCCATTGTTGAAGGATTTTGCATCATCCAGTCAAACAAGTCTTTGCATTTCAACGAATTTGGCAAATTTCTTCATTATTTGATGGCAAGCTAGTTCGGTTTGTGAGTAATTCTTACATGCGAATGTAAACACACCGAAAAAAAAAAGCATCTGTCTAGAGTCAATGGAGCTGTGTGTTACTGTTGTAAAATGAAAACAACTTTAAATGTAGTTTTTGCGTCTATCGAATGACTTTAGTTTAAGATCAATCATCAGAAAATATGGAAGGTGGCTCCATAATTTGCCGTAAATCGAAAAGCATTGACACAAATTGTGTAAATCAAGTGAAAAGTATAAACGTTCAATTATCTTAATTTTTTGCTGACAACTATCTTGTCTATAGTAGAACTTTCAATTTATTATTAATAAATTAATTAAACTGAGTCAATTTCCTTAATGTGATATACGTCATATGGGAGTGAAAATAGATCGTAATAGAAGTTGACAATCTATACTTCATCGTTATTATCATAAATCGATACATATTGGAAGTATTAATGTATCAGATATGTCAACAGCCATGAAATTTATGAGTATTATAATCCCCTTGGTGTGACTGTGACCATTGAAGTATCATATTTCCAGAGTCAAGTGCTTGTCATTCTTTTAATCATTTTTATATCATTTGAAGCGAAAAATTTGTCAATGTTAGGGCTTGTGTGAAAATATTTGCGTTTAGTCATGCAATTTAACTGTAATTGTGGGAATTTGTAATTGTTCTTCAATTAACTTACATTTTGCATTTAAAATCCTAGTTCAAATTTTAAACTTTCCGACAAAATTTTTAATTTTAGAATTCCAAAAATTCGTTATTTTTCTCTTTGACAATATAAACGAAAATCGTCAACGAATGGCATAAAAGCCTAATTTTTTGGGCAAAATAAACTTTCCCCAATTTTCCGAAGCACTTGAACGATAAAAATGCTAATCAGATAAGTCAGTTCCTTTACGAGATACAAGTGCTGTTGAAGGTCGTACATGTTTACGTTCTTAAGCTCTTATTTTTTATGAGCAAGGCCATCAGATTCAACGTCTCATGCATAAATGTAAACATAAACGACCTTATAGGGAAGAGCGAGCGACAAGGAAGTGTTAATATGATTCTATTTTAGAACAATTTTGAAATAATCAATAAATTTTATATTCTGGCCTGAAAACAACATATTCGTATATCTTGATCCTTATATTTAGATACTAGTTGCTAGACAAAAAAAAATTATCATTTTGGTTCCACGACAAATCCCTAAATGTTATCTCATTTACGCCAAACACAAATGACACAATCGTTTAATTACACTTTAAACTCATTACGAGTTGTGCCTTTTATTCGTTAGAAAGAGAAAGCTTCATTCATTTATTTTTATTTGTCTTATCAGTTTTTGAACAGAGTCACTATAAAAAATTTCCCCATAAATCAACAAAATAAATTTATTTAATCGCAATTTATTTATTATATTTTGTATGTTGCCATTTTTCTTTTGTTTAGAACGAAATCCACTTTTAATACAGTCAGACTCTGAAGCAGACCTATGCGAAGGACGAGTGACGATAAATATAAGAAAAATGCCATCTGAATGCTTGGAGTGAGTTTATTGGATATAAAAATATTGATGTCATGTCATTTACTATGTTCTTTATTTATTATTATTGTAGGAATATTATCAAATATCCGCGAGCAATATTGCGTCTATTGTTTGTGATATTAAATAATATTTATTGTATTCCCACATACCTCATATGGATATTCTTACTTCTACCATTACGTAAACTTCATCCAGATACTTTTTATTGGATTGAAGGCAAACTATTCCATTGGTTGATAGCGAACGTTGTAATGTGGGGCTATTCAGCTGGATATGACAGTAAGTGACGACCAACTTCTCATCACATTAGACATATGATTAATGATTTTAAACTCTATTTTTTGCAGTTGTTGAGGTCGGTGATGATATAACGCCGGCTCTAGATCAACGTACATTGGTTCTAGTCAATCATCAATCAACAGCAGATGTGCCTATGCTGATGTCAACATTTAATACAAAGCAAGAGGTGCTACCGAATATTATGTGGATTATGGACAAAGTTTTTATGTACACAAATTTCGGCATCGTGAGTTTAATTCATCAAGATTTCTTCATTGGATCTGTGAGTATTTTTTAATAATAATTATATAGATTTGGTCATTATTATTTGACGATCATTATAATTATGTTTGTAGGGACCTCGACAACGTGAATTGGCTTTGGTTCAATTGAGATCGCATATAGAAAAGGCATACATTCCAAGAAAAAGAGAATGGATGGTATTATTCCCAGAAGGTAATTACCTTTGCTTACTATTTTTGAAAATTATTTTCTTCATCTTCGTACCTTTTGTGTCATCATTATTATTTAGGTGGATTCTTGAGAAAGAGGCGTGAAGCAAGTCAGCGGTATGTGAAAATTATTAAAAATTCAAGCTTCAATTTTCTATTAAATTTTTCAATATTCTATTCTAGCTATGCTCAAAGGAATAACCTTCCAATGCTACGATATGTAACTTTACCGAGAATTGGAGCGATGAAAACGATTATTGATCAGTTAGGCACGGGGCAAGAAATCGAGAACAATCCCACACAATCAACAACACCCCCTCAATCGATGAAGAATATAAACAAACTTATTGACGAGGAAGGAGATGAATTTTATATTGATAATGAATATACAAATCAAAAAACACCGCCAGATACCCCATTGAAGAATGCTTATAATGCAGCAAATCATAATAATAATGATAAAAGTAATAGACAAACACAGAGAATCATTGATGATGATGAGAATCTTAAAGAAAAGATTAGTGAAAATGAAGTAAGTTCTCGGAAATCGCTCAAATATATAATTGACATCACCGTAGCTTATCCAGACGCGAAAGCTTTAGATTTGGGAGATATTGTTTTTGGATTAAGGAAGTCAGCGTCAACACACATGCTTTATCGGATGTATCGTTGTTCTGAGGTGAGTATTATTTCAATTTGAGGGGATTAATTGAGTTTTGGCATAAAAACTGATTGACGTACGTAATTTTTTACTTACAAAGGCTACGTGCAAGTATTACACACAACTTTTACGTACAAGTCATTGTATAAAAATTTTACGTGTGAGTTATTGAACGTAATACTAAGCGTTCTTATTGTACGTACGTATTTCGTTATGTAAATTTTATCAAATTCAAAAATGAGCTTGAAAAGCGACATAAATTTTGTTTTTGATTTTCAAAAAAGATCAATCATAAAAATAAGACTCAATCATCTAATATGCTCTTTCGTAAATCTAATTACAACTACAATTTAATAAATTTTCTCAAGACAATCATTTCTTCTTGCCTTAATAGGTTCCACGCGAGGAAGAACCTCTAACAAAGTGGCTGTACGATAGATTCGTAGAAAAAGAAGAGCTTTTAGAAAATTTTTACAATACCGGCTCATTTGCGTATCCATCAGAAGTACAACCAACAGTTGTATCACAAGATCTGTTAAGATTCTTTTTAATTCATCTCTTCTTCATTACATCATCCTACTTACATTTTCAAATGCTTAGTATGCTTTATACAACAATATTTCCTCTGAATGGTGGCACTTAAATTTAAGTAATTTAGGATTTATTTAATATTTAATAATAATAATATTTTTTTTTTGATTCGTCAATTCACATAACGTCAACCAGAACAATCGTGGCAAAATGTGGATCTCATTCTTTGATATAATTGTGTATGAATGTAGAGCAACTGTTCTGTTTAACATCATCAAATATTCTCTTTTTTAAAGTAAGTGAAAATAAGAAACAAAAGTAAATATACGAGATGGCAGCATAAAATGAATCAGTAATGTTTGTAGGCACAATTAAAGTGGTTTGATACAATTTTTATGAATGCACAAAAGAAGAAGATTATTTTTTTTGTACTGACGAGGCCTATACACGACAAGATATTTACTGATTGTTAATAATTTTTCTCGGCAGTATTAAAAATGTGTGTGAAATAATTAACAAGACAACATAACTCCAATAATAGTGAGATCATACTTCCTCCCCCATCTCTGTCTCTCTATCTCTCTGGTTGTAAATTGATTTTTTTTTTTGTTCCAATAATTTATTTTAATTTGACTCGAAATTAAAAAAGTTTAATTTTTTTCTTTCATATATAACTTTCTATTTTATGTGTAATGTTAAAAAATACTATTTACCAATATATATAGATAAATTGAAAAAGAAATGCGATATATGTGAAACAGATTTTTTTTCTTCCTTTGTTTTGAATCATTAATTAAATTGTAATAACAACGTAAATTATATTTTTTACTATCCCTGAAAACAAAAAGTTATGAGAATGAAAAGAAAAAATATTTGCTGACTGCTTTTTATAAAACTGAAGAAGGTTTATGTGAAAAATAATATTAATATTATTATGAAGAAATTGTTTAATTAAACAATAATTCTTACCTTAAATTAGGCTTAGTTAATTCATCAAAAATAAATAATAATATAATTCATCTTAAGTCGCTAGGCATTTAACAGCTTCACTCAAAATCATTGGAATTTGGATATTTTTCTCTCTCATCTGTTGATTGTCATTGAACGCCACTAGTGAAGCAGAGACTTGCGATTTAAATTTTGAAAGGAAATTAAAAAGAGACAACAAACATAAAAAAACGTAGAACCAAAAATATAAAGGATTTTTTAATACATTTAACAAAGATACTATGAGATATGTGATAATTAGGATTACTGGTCATATTTGACAAGTAATTTGTGTCTTTTTTTAACGCTTAGAGGGTAAATTTTGAATTGTGATGGTTCTGCTTCTCTAGTTTATTCAAATGAGTGGTTAGAACTCTTAAAATTTGATATTTGAGAACTTTGAATTTGAAATTTTGAAAACCATTTCAAAAAACATCTTTTATAACTTGAAAACTATTTGTGAAATCTGAAAACCAGTTTTTATAATTCGGAAACTATTTTAAACTTTGAAAGTTCTAATTATTAAAACTGAAACATTTAGCAATTTAAATTTTGTGAAAACATTCAATTTTGAAACAAAGTTGATCAAAAGCTCTCAAATATCTTTTTAAACGAATCTAGACCAAAATACACACCAGACCACAGATCAATCACAAAAAGAAAACAAATGTCATGCCATCGGAAAATTTTCCAATTCCAATTGAAATGAACAACAAATTGTAATAAATTTAATCAATAATAGTTATGAGAGATTTTCAGATAAATCATCGTCGTTACATTGTCAATTCTTCATCATTATTTTTATGATAGGAGAAGTCACTTAATTTCCTTTACAAAAAAAAAAACAATGAAATTATGAATAACAAGCATGAATAATAAATTTAATTAGGTAAAATATTCTTGAAAAAACAAAAAATTGGCTTTGTTGATTAAGCCCCAAAGAAGTGAAGTTTCTTAAAAACGCTTTAAAAAATTAAAACAAATTTTTTTGCTTAGTAAAAAAATCAAGGAAAAATAATCCAATCGAAATGATAACTGACAACTATGAAGGACAAAAATTTGTATGTAAATAGAGAATAAGCGCAAGTAAATTATTAATAATCTTTCACAAAAAGAAGAACAAGAAGAAAATAAAATAAAATTCGATAAAGAAGAAAAATCATTTGTTATGAAACAAACGAGAAATGGAAATTTTTAATTCATTAAATTAACTGTGGTTATGGAAATTTTGCGTACTTAATTGTGTTCAATTAACGTTAATTAAAACGAGTTTCTGCGCTTCTTTTCGATTTGTTTAGATTTCAGTCTGAGGTCGCAAGTAATTACATACCTCGATAGACCATGCAAAATTGAAATTTAATGACTAGCCCATCATTATGCCATCATTTTGTAGACTTTGAGCAGTATCAAATGACTCATCTCTATAATAGTCTAATATTTCATTGGGTGTTCTTTTTTTGCATTCATTTGATTTATTCTTTGACTATATTTCAAGTAGCCGTTATTGAATAATTTGAATTGTGAATGTTTTTCATCTGTAGCCAACTTCAAGTTTTTAATTTTTATGACTATATTTTTGACTTTTGCACAATAGAGAACCACTAAATTACATCATTAATCATTAGTAGTTGATGCAAATCCTTGAAATAAAAACGTCAAAAGAATAATCTCAAAAAAAAAAATCAAAATTCTCTTAAAATTTGGTAACCGTCAAAAATAATTTGAACTTTGTTGAGAGGAATTCAATTAACCGTAGATGTCTGTTTATAATTTGCTCGAACATTAAATAACTAGTGGTGAACGAAGTTTAATTAATTCAAGTGAATAGCAAAGTGTAGAAGTGTATTAAATATTTTAATTGTGAAAATACGTGTTCTTTAAATCCTAAATTCATGGAGTCAAGACAATTAGAGCATTAGAAAGGGCCAAAAATGTTTAAATAAAAATTGATCAAAATAATTTACACATATTTACTGATAAGAAATATAGTAATATTATCAAAAACCACCATATCTGTAAGTATGACTTATTATTTAGTGTTCTAATGAATGAAATGAGTCAATATGAATGAATTAAGTGTGTCGAAAATCGCAACGTAAAAAAATTCGCTCAGTATAAAGGAAAATGGAGACTTGAAATTCTCGGAATTGGAAAAAATTGCTCTAACATCCAGTATGGCTTATATTAAGCTTAAGCGAAAGTTATTGTACTTGAAATGCAAGGTGAAATGAATTTAATTCAATTGGATGACCATTATCGGCTGTTGATATCGCGAATTCACTTTCTTTTTTAACGTAGTTTATTGCTACCTGATAATCAATTATATTTCCCTTTAAAATGCTTTTACATCACTTTGTTGTTTCGTATGAATCAAGTGGTGGTATGTACAAGAAACTTGCCAGTGTAATCGCCTTTAAAATTAATTTTATATGCTTCATAGAACAAAAATCATTTAATCAGAACTACAATTAATCGTATTCCGAAGCATAAAAATATAAGAGCTATAGGTAACAAAGTTTTTATTGCATCATCGTAGAGGTTTCTTTTGGGACATACAAAATAAATAATTACTTCATTCAATCATCATTCAACAACCGACGATTTTTCAACACAACTAAACATACAATAAAGCAATTCATGGAATTATGAATGAAATCTGGTTGGGCTTTCGGATTCATGTGTGAGTGCCATAAGAAATAAAAAGTATAATTGACTGTGCCTGACTATGAGGGAAGTAAAGTGTGCAAAGAAGAAAGAGAAAAAATATAAAATAAGAAGAAGTTCGTCGTATCTTTAACAACAACCAGTGCAAAGAAGAAGAAGGCAAGAAGTGAATGGAGAAGGAAGAATATAGTAAAATGTTACCTGTGTTTGCTAAGCGCATTTATGACGTGCAAATTGACTTTTATGGCTTCGGGTTCAAGGAAGTCTCGAAATTCCACTTAAAATTTATGGTTGATTTTTTTCAAAATTTAACGGTTTTCAAAAAATTGAAATCTTTAAGTTCAAAAATTAACCGATCGCTTAAGATCAAAATTCAAATTTTGAACGGCATTTGAAGATCAAAATTCAAATTAATAATGGCTTTTAAGGTTCGAAATTAAGTAGTTTTTGTAAAAATTCAAAAATTACCGGTTATTTCTAAAACAATATGGAACTAGCAGCTGCTCGATCAATGCAAGACAAAAAGACCACACATTTATGCAATGTGTAAATGAAACCAAGCTAAAAGTGATCGTTTCTCTCCTGCCTGGCTAAGTTCATTATATTGTAACTTCTTCTTGCTGTTCAATGCACATAAAAATTGTTTCTTTAGTCTCTCATATGTCAATGATGGGAAGTTTTATGAACTTCTTCTACATACACATCACATTGGCATTCAATGTTTACAATAAATGTTTCTTCTTTTCCCTTTTGCTTCTGCTGTTGCCTATATCTTTCTGCGAAAAAAAAAGTCTCTTGAGAATAAAAAAATGTTTCTTGTAGTTTATATATTTCTTGGTAGATGCGTCGACGGGTCTATCTCTCGTTTTCACATGAAAATTTCATTTCTCAATGCCTCATAGCGATAATGGTTTGTGCTCTCTCTTCTACATCTTCTCTGTAAACAAAATTCAATTGAGAACATCTTCTCGGAATTATTATTATGATTATTATTGTGTATATTTCAAGTATAGCTAAAATAAATTACCATAACGACCTTAATTTCTTCTTTCCTTTCGTATCACATAAAACGGGGTTATCAAAAGCACGTCTGAAGCCTTTTGCGAAGAAAAAAAATCTATCAAGAACATAAAGCAAAATTTTTGTTCAGGCCAAAACGAACGAATAAAGATTAAAATATTATGACGAAGGTGCACCAGGTGTCAAGTCTGTAAAATCATTCGGTAAATAGCCTTACTCTATTGTTAGTAACTCGATATGCATTCACATTATCGTTATTTGTTTATTTAACCAAACGACATCTGAGAAAGCATATGAATGCCTGTTCTTAATGATTCATGTCGGGACATGCTGCAACTAGATTTATTTTCATTCAACGAATTTTTATTTCGTCTTTAATGTGGACCCAAAATATAAGCATAATGGGTGTTAACATGTCTGTTTATGCTCAATTTTAAAAACGATTAGTAATAAATGGAATGTTTAGTTTGTTATATGCTTAAATATTTACAAAACATAATTGGAAAAAAAAAATTACAGAAAACCTTTTTCTGTTATCGCTTGGCAGTTTCCAAACTTTATTTTTCGTTTCCTGCGTGTCGAAAAAAATAACATTATTTGTAGAAATGTTTACTCGAAAGTTTGGTAATAATATTATTTAAATAAATTGAGTAAGGAACTGAATGGTTCATTAGCTTAATTGCTCTACGAACTCTGCGAATATCAACTGGTTGAATCTTAGTATCAAGTAGATTTCGATAGAATCTAGAATATAATTTTCATTTTAAGATTCGATTTAGACCAGAATAAATTTGAAGTCATTCACATTCACAAATTTACGTCATTCAAATGACGTCTTTAACTTTTAACTCAGTCACAATTTTTTTTTGTGGTTTTGTCGTGTGACGAACATTCTTAAAGGTAACATTAGTGACGTCTATATAACAGCTAGTTTTTTGTATGAAACATCATGAAAATCTAAACTCGCTTCCCCACAATTTTCGACATTATTAATGAATTGCCTCAAATTGAATTCAACGTTTAATATTCAAATTTAGAACTTTGATGATTAAAAATCAAATTTTTGAATTTTCAAAGTCTGTCAAAACTTGGATTTTTAAATAAAAGACTAGAATGAAGTCAAAAGATGACATTTTACATCAAATATAGTTTATAAATAAATCCCATGTGATCTGTCAATCATGACCAACATAATGTGTACAAGAAACTTTAGATGAACCGTAATTCCTATAAAACAAGAAGATTTGATTGAATCCTCAAAAGTTCTAAAAGTTCATTGGCTTCACATTCGATTGACAATCAATTGCCACCATTTTAAACAAAATATACATCCGGTTATCGACTTGTAAGCAAGGTCAATTTTGCGCAATTTCAAATTTTTTTTTGATAAACATTAAATAAACTCGTATCCTCAATACAGGTGAAAGATAACAGTAGCAATTTTGCAGTGAAAAATTATCAGAGGCGCAAACAAAAATAAACGAAACTGAAAAATTCACAAGAATTTCATTATCATCGAGCAAAATTCGTGGGAATTGTGATTATACACATTTATAATTATCGCACATTAAACCTTTTGTATGAAATTTATTTCCCATGAAAGGTCTTTTTTTTTTGTTTCTAGCACGCTTGTCTTCGCTCGAATCGTCGTTATCAAGCCTTAATATTATTTTAGTAGAACCACATAGATGTATGTTTTCTGTTATCATTTCTACGTAGTGTAAGAAATCGCTGATTACAATATAATATCACTGGTTGCGATGGTTATGAATCGTTCCGAACGAATCTTGTCGAATGACTCGTTGTGCGCTTTATGTATGAATGAATATGCCCCGAAAAAAAAAATAATACTGAATGAAAATGAGAAGTTTTGTCGACATTCGTTTCATTTCATCACTGAAATTGCTATCGTAAACACGTCAAAAGCAAGACGGACAGTTTTTGAAAAATAATTAAAATATTTTTTTTATTTTTCTTTCATTTATTTTAGTGGCAAAAAATAAAAAGATTATTTAAAAATCATTAAAAGAACAGGAAGAGTGTAAAAGGAATTTATTTTAAAAATAATAATTTTTTATGGACATACCGCAAAAGTGTTTGTGTGACGAAAAGGAAATCAAGAATATTACCGAAAAGAATTTAACAATAATTGTTCACATGAAGAAAATGGACGGTAGTAATAATGTTGTCGGTTCCGGCACATCAGCAGCCGCAGCAACAGCATTTTTGCATCAACAGTCGTTAGCCAACAATAATAACAGTTCGATATTATCAGGTGATACAAATAATAACAACAATCATTCAGTGGATCATAATAATAGTAGTGGAAATGAGAATAATATTAAAAGCAATACTAAAAGCGAATCATCAACAATCTCGTGTGGAAAGAAGGCATTTTATAAGTTAATATTTAATAAGTCATCAGGATCAAATAATAGTAGCGATAATAATAATAATAGTAATAGCAACCAATCATCTAATACACCACCATCAAATAATTCATATACAAAAGTATCAATGGAGCGAACGGCAAACGGTAGCATAGAAAGTAAAATTTCACAAATGAGCATCGATCAAAATCGACAATCAATATCATCACAATCACATCAAGGAAATTCCCTCGTTGTGAGTCCTACGTCAAATGATTTAACTCGAAGGTGAGTAATAGATTCTTAATCCCGTCACATGTGTGTAAATCTACCTAAAAAGTATTTTCTCGCGCTCTCTGTTTGTCTATTCATCCATTGAAAGTCACGATTTCTTATGTATAAATGTATATATCATGCGATAATTACAAGCGCAAATTTCTCAGAAGTATTAAATACTCCGCAAGCTTTATTTCATGTGAAAAAAAAATAAAAATTGTAGTAAATATATTTTTATACAAAAACTGAAATTTCTACAGAAAAAATAATGAAGGTGCTGAATGGCGCTCTATTTCGAGGAATTTTATATCGATGCGACATTGTTATTTCTTTTTGGGATTCTTCTGGGGGCGTGTAGTTATGACGTCTGTTGGAGAAATTGTTTCTTTCGATTTTCTTTTATGTAATTTAGAGATTCTTTCAAAATGAAGCTTCAACCACTTCTTAGAATTTTAATTTTAACGTCTTTGTATAATTCAAAATATAACTTCATCGTTGATTTCAAGATTTAACGTCTTTGTAGAAATCAAAATATAACTTCTTTGTTGATTTCAAGATTTAACGTCTTTGTATAATTCAAAATATATATAACTTCTTTGTTGATTTCAAAATTTAACATCTTTGTAGAATTCAAAATATAACTTTGTTGATTTCAAAATTTAACGTCTTTGTAGAATTCAAAATATAACTTCTTTGCTGATTTCAAGATTTAACGTGTTTGTAGAATTCAAAATATAACTTCTTTGTTGATTTCAAAATTTAACATCTTTGAAGAATTCAAAATATAACTTCTTTGTTGATTTCAAAATTTAACGTCTTTGTAGAATTCAAAATATAACTTCTTTGTTGATTTCAAGATTTAACGTCTTTGTATAATTCAAAATATATATAACTTCTTTGTTGATTTCAAAATTTAACGTCTTTGTAGAATTCAAAATATAACTTTGTTGATTTCAAAATTTAACGTCTTTGTAGAATTCAAAATATAACTTCTTTGCTGATTTCAAAATTTAACTTCTTTGTAGAATTCAAAATTTTAAAGTTCGAAAATTGATCTTTTTAAAATTCAAATTTTAACGGTCTTTTGAAACTTTAATCAATAGAAATATTGAAACATCCATCACATGCTAACGACATACCTCATGTGCTTTTATTTCTTGGTAACAGTATTTTTCAAAGTTTAATGATTTCAATTGAATGGCAGGTGTATGATAATTGTATTTTGAAGGAATGAAGCATGTCACATGCTATAATTTTTTTCAAATTTTAAATATACAGATTGAAGAGAATATTCTGAGAAGAAATAACAAGATTCATAAGTACATTTTTTTTTATTATGATTCTGAAAAGTCCTTGAGAGAATAAAAATGAAGCAAGTAAGAAAAAGAAAGCAAATCAGAATAAACAGTTCCTCGTGCGGCACTTAATGAAAATTTCTTAGAAAATGAGATTTATTTTCAACAATGGCAATAAACTTCGTAATGGGAAGACCATTTTAATGTCTTGTATTGAATATTGTTACTTAGTAAAAGTTTATTTTCGATGGAATTACGGATGACATAAGTGTGTCCTACAAACGATTATTTATTTAGCATGAAATTCGATATACCGAAACGTTTTCTTGAAATTTTTTAAAATTGACATACATATGGTCTTAAGCTCATTTTCTTCGGTACGAATATTCATTTTGGCTTAGTTCCTTAATACTTTAATCTTTCTTGGAATATATTTTTGCTTCATTAAAGGTGAAAATTGGGGATTAATTACAGTCGAGGTATTAAATTGTTTTGCCATTTTAGGCTTAATCTATATTAAATTTGTGAATTGCTGCTTTTCAAAAATAAAGATTTAAATTTAATGGTTTTCAAAATTTCAAATTTTAACGGTTTTTGATAATTCAAAACTTTGAACTTTGACACCTTAACTTGAATTTGAAGTCGTTGTTTGAAGCTCAAAATCTACTTGAAGTTTCAAAGGCCTTCATAAAATAAAGACTGATACATGCGCTTAGTTTATTTGCACCCCAAGCACTTTCAACCTCATTTAATTCAAAGAAATTTTAAAAATTCTTTCCACTTCACATTCGTCTGCATATTTTTGTATAAAATTAACAAATTTCGCAGAATTGCTTGATTTATGAAATAAAATTGAGTCATTGCTATGTCGCTATTGTTATGACTAAGTCAACTGTTTAGTAGGACATAGCGGTTACATAATACCATTGGTCTTATCTGGAATTTGGTAACACAAAGGCATGACACACCCACAAAATATTGTGTCCCAAAACTAGCACTGTAATTGAATTCCTGTTAAATTTCATTGGCTTATGTTGATGATGAATTTAGTTTTAATAATAAGGCATAATGTAGAGGAAAAAGTATTGTTCATCGAAATTGATTCATTAGAATTGATTACAAGCGATTGTACAGAATGTACTGACAAAAATAATGAAATTGAATTGAAAAACTGCTGTCAAAATAATTTTTTTTTGTCCGGGAAATTAATTGACATAATTTCCGCTCACATGCTAGCTATTTTTGTGAAAAAATGAAATATAATTAAACTTTATTTTCGCTGTCGTTTATATTAATTCACGAGAAATATAAAAATCAACACTAATAAAATAATTTTCGAGTTATCTGGTGTTATGTAGACATTTTTTTTTTGAAAGTGTAGCACGGGGTTGTGAAAATGGCATTTGTTGTAGGTTTGATGAATTAAAGTTTTGCTTGATTTGATGAAATTCAGTTTTGTGGGATTTGAATTTTAACGGTTTGTTTATAATTTGAAGTATAACGATTTTGTAAATTTTGAATTTATCAGAAAGAATAACACATGAATTCAAATTATTTTGCACCGGTTTTTGCCAGAAAATGTCATTTAATCGAGAATGACTCATTAACTTTAAAATTGCATTTTGTCATGATCAGTAGCAATAACATTTTAAGTAGCCAACTAGTCTAGCTCAAAACTGCACATTCATTCCAATAATTTACAGTCAATAATCTCTGATATCTCGAACGACGTATTAATTTCCATTCAGCATTAATTCCACTCAAATTTATGACGATTGCGACTCTTAAAATGTTTAAAAAACGTACAAAGATGATCTTTCCAATTAAAATCCATGTCAGTTCCTGTTGCTTGTAATATCGAATGATTTTTATCAGGAAACAATTAACAACTTTGAATACTCAATGAGAATTTCTCATTTAGAGATTTTCAAGTAGTCACGAAATATGTTTGTTTGAGAGGAATTAAGAGGAAAAATAAAATAATAATAATAATTCTTATGCATGTGGAGTCTTATTCCAATGAATTTTGAAACTTGAACATTTGATTTCAATTGAATTACATCAGATATATTATAATACCGTCTACACTGTACGATTTCCGCTATTTACAATGCTTCATTCATAATATTTTTTGATAGCATCCTTGAGTTGATAAGAAAAGCACTTCATGAACTTTAATATGACGTATATTTAGCCATTAAGATAAAGCAATGCCATAAACGGGCTTTCATTTTTATCACAGTCTTGCTTAATGCAAAAAAAATCCGCTGATGTGGACATGAATTTTGTGAATGATTGCATGCATTGCATATTTTAACATTATCAAAAATTATTATAGCTTGTTGTATAAAAAAATAAGAGAGATAAGATACTGTGGGATTTTGTTATTCCTGTTTATTATTCATTATTGTAGAGTCTATATTATTTTTTAATGGTCGATAAGATTCCAAAAATACGTAAATGGAAATAATTAATGATGTCATTCTTTATATGGAAATTTTTATACTTTTTGAGCCGTTTTTTGATATTCTTGGAATAATATGGTTTAAATTTACTTAAAATTAAATCATGAAACTCGGTTTGAACTTTTAAAATTTAAATTTTGAACCTAAAAGATCGTTAAATTTTGAATTTTGAATCTAAAAGTTCGGTGAATTTGAATTTTGAACTTAAGAACCAAGCTAAGCTTAAAATTTTTAACCTTTGAAAAAATCAAATTAACTTAAATTCCAAAAACCAATTTAAAATTAAAACCCTCAAAAGCTCATTAAATGAATGCAATAAAATAAGTCCGTGAGTAGTTCCAGCAATCCATCGCATGATTAATGACCTCAACAGCCTTTTTGTATTAACTGTAACAATTTCATTATTATTCCTGAGAACTTAGTTGTACGTGATCATAATTTCTTGATCAGCAGATCTGGCACACGAGTAATACTGTGTTCTAGGAAATTAATTTATTTACAAGGATGTCATTTTAATCAGTTTTAAGTCAACAAAATATATTTATTAATTTTTTCCCAATTTACAAGGAAATGTCAACAAAATTAGAAAATTCCCCGAAAAAAGTCTCGGTTCTTATCAGAAATTATCCATAATATCTGATTTAATTTATTTAAACTTGAAAATTCTCTCAAATTTTGTTAGACTCTCCGAATGAACTATCGCTTGTTGCTATCGCAAATTTTATATTTCATTTTTTTACTCACGATTAACAAATACAGCAATATAAAAATTATCTACACGGAAATACAGAGAATGCTTCTTTAAAATTTGTTTTTGTTATTTTATTGTAAAAAATAGCGAGAGTGAGCATTTCAACCTGTATTATTAAATCTTATTCATCCAATATGAATTTGGCTTCTTCTTATATCGCAGACCATTCGAAACTTATTCCTATTGTATTCACATTTGAACCTTGCCTTGTGTTTGTGGTCAACGCCATATGATCATATTCCCAAAGAAATTGTAGTAAATATATTCAGCTTTTTTTTACAAATACATCTCTATTAACTATATTGAAAAGTGCATACATTCACTACAGAGACTTGATGGCGTTTTATTTCGGGCGATAATTTTTTAGCGAAAACTTAAATGCTAAATGTAGATTGAATTGCATTTTGGGTGCAATGCTGATTTATTAGCGGGTTTAAAATTTCAAAAATTGAACTTTAATGCAAATAAATTCAAAAATTTGAACTAACGGCTTTCAAAATTCAAATGCTGGTTCAAATATATTCCAACGTTTTCAAGAAATCCTATTTAAGTTCAAAAATTGAACTCTGTGTTTTAGACTCAAAGTTTAAATTTCAAATAACTGTTAAAATTCAAATTTAAAATGACGGTTAAACTTCATTCAACCCAAATTTCTGTATCAATTCGTACCTATCATAAATGCGCAACAATCACATACTCTATGAGAATATAAAAAATTAACTAGCTCGTCGTCGTTGCTTCTCTCATCGCATTTTCATTTTGTCAGCAGAAATGCTAGCTAGCTTATTTCATTATAACGATTCGCGTGTGGTGAAGGCTTTTGTTAGATTTTTTTTCCTCTCTCCACTGCTGTTGTGTACATGTTAGACTTTAGTGCATTTATGGCAGAATATTCAACTTGTTGAACATCATAAAAAGTTCTTTTTTTGTGCATTAAAAAGATTTATTTAATTTTTGTGAAATTCCAAAGAATATCCGATAGCTAGTAGATCACGCGTATACCGAGACAAAATTATGAGCATAGGAAGTTTACTTTTTAGGTTGATATTTAATTATTCATTTGTATTGATCACGAAATGAAGAAAAAAAAGAATTAAATTTAATTGCAATTTTTTTGCACTTGTATTGCAGATATAATTCATCATCATTAAATGAATATCGAATTGAAGATTCGGATGAGCGTGCACGAATACAGCGAGCAATTGAGATACAGGAAGGAATTGAGATTGATCAAGTGACATCGCCTGATCTGATCGAAAGTCTTACATCACACAATTCACGTACTAGCAGTGGCGATGAACAGCAAGAACATTGTAAACGATGCCAACAAAATCAAATACAATATCGGCAAATGGGCATTGTGCAACAAGCACTCTTGTCAATTGCTGACGATGAAAATAATCCACGATATCATTCTCAGGTATGTAATATAATATTTATTCAATAATTATCGTGCTTCTTACTATATACATATTTACTTCTATATTTGCAGGTTGCATATTGTCATTATTTAGTGCCGGACCTTGAGAAAATTACAGCATGTTGTTACTATTGGGGTAAAATGGATAGATATGAAGCAGAGAAATTGCTTGAAGGAAAGCCTGAAGGAACATTTCTATTACGTGATTCAGCACAAGATGATTATTTATTCTCAGTATCCTTCCGTAAATATGGTCGATCACTTCACGCACGAATTGAGGTAAGATTTATTAGAATCCATTCATCTATTCGCATTTTTACTAATAAATCACTTAATTTTTGCAGCAATTTAATCACAAGTTCAGTTTTGATTCACACGATCCATCAGTATTTATGGCCTTCACAGTAACCGGATTGGTTGAGCATTACAAAGATCCAACATCAGTCATGTTCTTTGAGCCAATGTTAACATCGCCATTACACAGAAACCATGTTTTCTCACTTCAGCAACTTTGTAGAGCTGCGATTGTTAGTCACACATCATATGATGGAATCAATAAGTTGAGCTTACCATTAGCTATGAAAAATTATCTGAAAGAATATCATTACAAGCTTAGAGTGCGTGTTAAACAATTTCCTGAAGGCGTTGCTTATCAGAACTCATAGTGCCAGGTAAGATAAAAAAACGAGTGAATAATATCTTGTCGCTGTCATGTTGATTGATGGAGTGGATATTAGCGCATTTTTCTAGTTTTTTTTGTGGACGTGGAAGTTTTTGAGTTATTTTCTTGAGGTTCAAAATTTGAACTTTCATATTTGAATATTAAAATTCCGCTAGAATTTGAATTTTAAAAAACCGTATTAAATTCAAATTCTCCAAATTTGAAACCCATTAAAATTTCACAAAAAACCACTTAACAAACAAAAATGCTGACACATCAACACATCCTCAATATACATCAGGCCATTAAAAAATTTCCTTATCATCACATAATAGACAACTCAGCAATTACTTTAATTTATTTATTCTTTTATTAGGTGATAACTTTTACATTACCATCATCACCATCATCAAGTAATTCATCATCATCGAGTAATTTATTTTGGCATCTTGGATGCAATTCAACATCATCATCGCCATTTAATTTTAATTTTCGTCAATTCTCTGAAATTGCGAGTAGCACATTAACAGATCAACCAATCCCATCAACGTCAACTGGATTGTACAGTGAGACAGATGAGAATGTGAAGAAAGGAAATGGCAAGAAGAAGTTTGGAAAGAGAATCCAAAACTTTTTCAGTAAATTCTTGTGAACCATTTAAATTCTACATTTTAAGGATAATTATGAGAAAATATAGTCAATAGTCCTGTATGAATACAAAAGCAGAAGTGAGGAAGGAAAGAGGCGGAAGTAAGCCAACAACCATACATACATATTGATGAGTAGTGATAAATTTTTGAATAATGAGCTTTCTAAGGAGTATGATTAATTAAACTAAATGGGGTTCGTTTGGTTTGTGATGTCTGTAGAGACCTTTAATTATAGCAGTGCTAAGGAGGTTTGGATAGAGATTTTTATACTGGAACGGTGGATTTTCACTTAAGAATCCACAGCTAATTAGAAAAACTTGATTAAGGACTTTAGACCACATTTGAGAACCAATGGAGTTCTAGGTCTGATAATTGGGTCAAAATTTGGCCCCATATCCTCGATAAACGTCACTAACGAATGACCCCAAAGAACAAAAAAAGAGAAACATAAAAATAATTAATATAAAAAATTATAATGGTACTATTTCAATACGAAAGAAGTTTATTTAAGAAAATATATTAATGAAAACCTTAAAAAATAACAAAAGAATTAATCAACAATGAAGGACGGACGTGTTAAATTGTTTATTTTAGTTATAAATGTTTAATAATGCTGTTAAATGTTATTAAATAATTGATTAAGGGGCCGTTCACTTATTACGTTACGCAAAAAACCGATTTTTTTCACACCCCCTCCCCCCCCCCTTTTTACAACTCGCACCCCCCCCCTTCTTGAACGTTCATAATTCAAATTTTTTTTCGTGAACTTTTTTTTAAAAGACAGACGACAGTAAGAACGTTACATTCTTCTTGACACCCCCCCCCCCCATGTTACATTTTGTTACAATTTTTCAACCCCCCCCCCCCCTCCCCCCTAAAATGCGAACGTAATAAGTGAACGGCACCTCAAATGATTTTTAATTTTTTTGTGGAATCTCAAAGGACTGGATTAGTGAAGCGCTGGAAAACATTGTGATTAAAATAAAAATGAAAAAAAAATTTGTATTTTTAAATTGAACATTTTTTTCCTTTCCCAAAGTTAATTATCTTTCTAGCGCATTTTCCTTAGAAAACATATTTATTTTTCTTAATTCTTTAAAGTTTGTTAATTAAATTATCTTTTATGCCTTTTGTTATGCACATAATTGATATTGGATTAGTCAATGAATTTAAATTTCAAAAACAGTTAATTTTTGAATCTCAAAAAACCGTTACATAATTTATTTGTTTTGTAGCTTGATATCTAGACATGACTTACATCCAACTGGATCATGTTTTTTTTAGTTCCAGGCATGACTTTTATCCATGGGAAAATGCGCTTAGTTCGTCCGTTCACAACTGTAATTCTATCCAAAATTGATAAATGTCGCTATAAAAGAAAATCAGATCGACAAAAATGAAAGGAAAATAAAAAATAGTCTTTTTATATTAATTAATTTAAATTTAAATGAAGAAGAAATATAAACAAGTATTAAAAATAGATGAAAATAAATTTCTGTTTGATAATTTTGAAAAGATCAAAACAATATTTTTAATTCCTCACTATTTATTGCTATTGTAAGCTTTCGTGGATGTTAATCAGTTAAGGTTAATAATAAAATGTGACGTACTAGGTCGGGAATAGGTCAAATAATAATAAATTCAATGCAAATGTTCTCAGAAATGAAGGAACTGAGTTTCAAGTCATTATAATGAATGCATTCATAAATAACGACGTAAAAAATAGATCCTCTTCCATTTTGACTGGAAGTATCAGACATTCTCTATAAACTAGACATCATTTATGCACGACCCCTATCGAAGTAGAGCTGAGGGATTGCTTAAAGTAAATGTGTCGTCATGTTTTATCATTTTAAAAAACCTTGAAGCTTATGAAGCATAGGACATAACCAAGCTATGACAAGTCATTACATCGAACATGATCTGACTAAATGATAACTACCCAACTGTCAATTTACTGAGAAAATGCCTTCTAATTAAATGATCCATTCAGAAACTCAGAATTTATTTATAAATCAATGAATAGTCTTTATAAATGGATCATCTTAGGGGCCATTCACTTATTACGTAACGCTTTTAGGGGGAGGGGGGGTCTAAGATTTTGTTACGATTCAAACAAGGAAATTTTTTTTTCATACAAATTTTGTTACGAGGGGGGGTCTAAGAAGTCATTTTTTCGCGTTACATAATAAGTGAACAGCCCCTTAATGAATAGTCCATAAAATACATAATACAGTTTTCTGTAGAATTTATGACCAAGTATATCCAACAAATCTAAGCCATTCATTCTTCCCAGAAATGATATAAAATTCAAACTGATAAATTTCTTAGATTTTTGTAATGTTTTAGCTAGAAATACACGATGAGACTATTTAGTTATAATATGATTAGGAATTTTCATTAATTTGATTTCGAATGGACTTATTTCTAATTAAAATGAGCTGATTCAGAATGAAATCGAATTAGATTATCCTTAAAAACTTAATTTTGATGAGATTCATTGTGATGTATTTTCTATTTGATGTCAATGAATCATTAGAGTTGAAAGTCAATAGTAATTTCCTAGACTTTTCCTCGTTCCTTAAAAAACGAATGATCTCAAAGCTATTCTGGATATTACAGGTTAAATTATTAATCCAGCCATTTAAAAAATGCTATGAGGATTTAAATTCATAATCTAATGCCTAAATCCCTTACTGTGTACGTACGTCAATAAGGATGAATAAGAATCAGCATTGTAGCTTATAACAAAAGAAAGATTATTGATTCATTTCTAAGAAAGCTTTCAATGGGAATATTTAAGGTGGCAAGATTTGGGATCAAACTCTAATAATTACATTGCAAATTTCAATGAACGAGATTATTTCAGTCTTGTTCTTCAAAAGTCTAGATTCTTCGAGTTTGATCCCAAAAGCCTTGGAAGTTACAATAGATTAATCTTTTCCAAGATAGTAAAAATAACATCACAAATCTTACAATTTAAACTTTAAAACTGCAATCAAACTATATTTAATGATCAAAAAAAAAAAATAGTAATAATAATAATTCAAAGTAGTCAGGATGACACAACTGAAATCAAATAGTATAACTATGTACAAGTTACGTGAACAAAATCAAATATTATTAAGAACAAAAATTGTAAATAAACAGAACAAGAAAAGATTATTATAAATGAGACGAGATTTTATTTGTCATGAAAGTTTTTATTACAGATTTTGCGTGTGCTTGGTGGTGACTGTAACTTAATTCCTGAATGATTTGGTTTGAGTTTTGTCAACAAAAACATTCTCTAACCTTAAAATCATCCAAAAATCAACTCTAGTTGCACCATTTAATAACATTGGACATGATCGATTGCCTTCATGCCTGATATATCGATTCCAGTCTTTGCTATGACTTCATTCTTCAACTTTTCAACAAGTGCATTGTCCAAAGTCTTTTGTCTTGAGCCAATTGTGACAGCCAGATAAATTGGTCCATTCAAGTTCTTGCATTCAATAACGACTGCATAGTTGTCTATATCAATTAATAGAAGTAGATTAGTGCATAATAGAGCATAAATTTAATCATTTTACCATAATCAGTAGCAAAGATTCGCATGTTTGAATTATTAAGCAATTCAAATGGTGTTGACAAGTTAAATCCTTCAGCCAAAGTCTTTCCTTTTCGGGACAATTCAATGTTTACACCAACTGGTTGTAAAGTCATTTTGAAATTTGTTGGACTTCCGATATCGAAAATTTCGTAACTTCCACAGGGCATGTCGATTCCTATTTGAATAAGAGTTGATTATTCACTGTTCTGAGTTGCACTTAGGGGTCGTTCGTAAATGATATTCAACAAAAATTGAGGTTTTTATACAGCCCCCCCCCCCTCCCCCTTAGTACGGCAGCAAGTCATCAATAATGACAAATTTGAGTTACGTTTTACTGGATTGACTCTGTTCTGAGTGTACAACTGAATTATCTTTAATGATTTCCAGCTATCCACTCGAAGTTTTCTTAAGACACTAAAGCACACGACACTTACCAGTTGTTACAATTCCGTACCTGTAAAAATCAAAAAATATAGTCACAGTAGCTTCAAACCATAACAGTAATCTTATCTACCATTTTCCAAGGAATCTCTTCTGATCAAAGTTGTCCATAAACTTAACATCAGGGCACGTGTCGACTGCATAACTTACACCCAAGAGAGTCACAAACAAAGCTAAGATTATTGCTACCTTCATGATTTAGTAATTGCTTAATAATTCTTCAAAATCTGTTAACTGAATGATGAGTTTTATGGCTGAGCTTTTTGTATTTATATTATTCCAAAGCACGAGATATTTTGAGAGGCTGGATATAAGTTGAGAAAGAGTTCTTTAGACTTTTGAGAGAATATTTTCTTCTTTTTGCTGCTGTAAAGTGTGTTCACACCGTTCTTGAAGCTGGATAATTAGTTTGAAGCAATTACGTCTTGTTTACATTGCTGAGAATAAGAAGTTGAGAAGGTCATGGAAAGCAATAAACTTTTGAGTTTTGAGTTCGGAAGTGTTTCTTTGTTTGATAAGATCATTTTAATATAGAGCTTAATTGTATGGTCTGGAGACCTTTTAGAGATACTTGGAACTGGCATCTTAGGTATATCCTATTGCTGTCTTCCTTCGGATGTCTGACTACCGTATACCAAAGAATCAAACCCCTGAGTCCAAATAACAAAATTCCCAAAAATATGATTTGTCATTCTGCAAAACAAATTTGACCTACAATGACTGCATGTTGACAAGACTTATTAGCTTCTTACCTAATAATTATCACCTTAAATTGTTTAATACTATTAGAACATATGACTAACTGACGTGTCATTTGACATTCAACGGTTCGGTTATATTCACTTCAACGAAAGTGTTTGTCCTTCATCAAGAACAAAAAAAAATAATTGTGACGTATTCGTTACCACATCAAATTCATAATGAGTTTTAAACCTTTAAGTATTATTATTCAAAATCTTATAGTTCAAAATCATCAAAACATTTCCATGAGAGATTTGCGATTGGTGGGATTGGTTGGGAATCTTTTTGTGGAATTGTGCAATTTGTATTTTGATGATGAAATAGATGCTGGTTTAATATGCAGGGGTGACGCCAAGGAGGGGTGCAAAAGATACCAATAGTACCAGTAGTAGAAGTCAACCTTAGCTGGTTAAACGTACTTCTTGTTGAAGTAAGTACCCAGCCACTCCTCTGCTTACGTTTTTTGTGGGCTTAAAACCTTAATCCGATGAAATTTAATCCCAGTTGGTCTTAGGGGCCGTTCACTTATTACGTTACCCAAAAATCGGACTTTTCTCCCCCCCCCCTCCCCCCCTGTTACAACATGTTACAACTCACAACACCCCCCCCCCCCCCCTGAACGTTCATAATTCAAATTTTTTTCGTGAACTTTTTTAAAAGACAGACGACAGTTAGAACGTTACCTACTTCTTGACAACCCCCCCCCCCCCTATGTTACATTTTGTTACAATTTTTCAACCCCCCCCCCCCCCCCCCCTCCCCCCTAAAATGCGAACGTAATAAGTGAACGGCCCCTTACATTTATTTAGCAATATAATCCTCCCCCTCACCCCTCCTGTAACAGACAAACCTAATCTTATTGAAATCGAAAGAAACCCATCAAGCAACAAAGTTCCAAAAAACTCCAACTTTTGCCCAGCTGCTTGGTCAGATCTCTCAATCTTTCGAACAAGAAGCAGACGTCATCATTAGAACTTTAGTACAGTTGCTAATGATGCTGAATCACAATTTACAGAACTATTTTTTTTCCCAACAGACCCAAATCAATCATCATCGTGTAGATCAAACTTCAAAGATTCGCATTATAAATCAACTCCAAAAATCACGTTTCACTTTAATGCACCATAACGAACAAATAATTGTTGAAGAAGAAAAAACAATCAGCGAAGCTTGTTCATCGATGACATGCAAATGAGATGTCTAAAGTCGACAATTATATCATAAGTGTGAAGCAAAGTTCTTCTTTCTATCGTCGTCATGCTATCACATCGTTTACATATCTTGTGTCTATGTTCAACTTTTGAAAGTTAAGGCAAAAAAAGAAGAAGATAAAATTTTTTTTTGATCGTTTGCGTTTACTGCAATCATCAGGTTGGATGTATGATAACAACAGAATACATAAAAAGAAAGTATATAAATTGTCATCTGTTGCTCCTGAGTAATATGTATTCTCGGTGGCATGGATTGTGAGAAACTGGCCGAAAAATTAGCACATGCGCAGCTTTAAAAGCTCAACTTTTTGTTCCTTTCTTCAGGAGCTTTTTTTTTCTTGTCTATTTGCTCTAATAGAAGAATACCCAGCTCAGTAGTTAATAGGATGTCGTAGAGCATGCATCGTCTCGCTTAAAGAATAAGTCTCTATCTATATCATAGAGAGATTCATCAAGGAAGAAACAGTCTCGTTTCTATCAGAGATTTGAAGTCATAAAAAATTAAAAGCTCTAACAAACATTATCATAAAGGATCATTTTTTGTTCTCGGTCTTTTTATTTCAATGTGTGTATGGGAAGTAACATAATAACATGTCCTTGGATTATCGATTTTCCTTACCACTGCACTGTGTACAGTTTTTGGTCCATTTTTGACTGAAAATGATGCTAATCTGGTCACTTTGAGTGATGTGGGAATTAACTCGGTTGAATGGAGTTGAATTTTACTGTGGGATGATGTGATTGTTGATATTTACTTGTTTATTGACTGATTGATGTTGTTTCAGTACTGTTCAAATGTTTGATTTTGACTGGATGTTAAATTAATTTTGCAAATTTTCACTTTTTAGCGCATTTTTGAAACTTGTTTCTAAAAGGTAGCTTAATATCTCACTTTGTCTGTTCGTTCGGGCTGAGAAAACTTTTTAACTAGACATCGTAGAGAGTTCTAGTTTGTTTTATTAGCTCAGGTCCATTGTTTTATTATCGGGAAACGCATTTAAAAGTCTTGAAACAGTGTTTTTGTACTATAATTAATGATTTTTATATTTCATATGAAAAAAACACGTGATGAGAGCGTTTAGAAATTCGAATTTATTTCTACCGTTGAAAAATTTTGAATCTCAAAAAACCGTTATATTACCAAGCCTTTTTATATGAAAATTTTTTTTTGCAACAGACTGTTATTTATACTTTACTTAATTCTTAATGCTTTTACTGTAATTTTTGTCAAGATACTTTCAAATGCATACGACCGTTACAAAATTTGAACTTCAGAAAACCGTTAAATGATAAACAATTTATATAGGAGAATGAAAGATATTATATTGATAAATATACTATAATTAATGATTTTTTTGTATATCTTTTGGCGGGAAGCTTTCAAAAAATTACTGACCGTTAGAAAATTTGAATCTCAAATAATCGTTAAATGATAAACTTTTTATGTATGGAAATTCATTGGAACAAATTATGTAATTATACTATAACTAATGTTTTCGTAGTGCAACTTTTAGCGGGAAAATTTCAAATTATTTTTTGACCGTTAAATAACAAAGCCTTTCTATTTAAGCATTCATTGTAATTATTTGCTAATTGCACTAAAATCAATGATCTTCTAATCTTCTAATGATCTGTAAATGAATTGTCCCTCGATCAATAACACGAGGACTTCTGTAATTTTTATTTGTTCTCGTGTAAAATAAACAGAGCTTTCTACCCTTCTGTTGAAAATTTGAATTTAAAATAACCGTTGAATTTTTGAATTAAAAAATCCATTAAATTTGCTTCATGCGCTTATTGAACTTAAAGTTCACAGCATCTATACTCTCTTAATGTTTAGAGCGTTGACTGTTTTGTGTCATAGATTCATGCTTTTTCATTCATGCTACAAGCTCACCGAAAAAAATATGTTTCATGTTTCTGAACTCAAAAATACCTTTTTTTCTCTCCGACTGCTACATTCATACATTACAGCCTCATACTGATGCTGCTGCCGACTTTGGTATTCTTTTTTCATCATCGTACGGCTTCCATTGTGTGTATCTTAATTTCATAAATTTTTAAATATATTTCCTTGCCTGCTCTCTATCTCTTTCGCTCACTTTTGTTTTTCATTTCCAACCTCAATATGTAAAGCGCGGTGGGGTCTATATTCTATAGTATATAGATATGTGTTCAAGATATTCGTGTTACTGTCAAATACAATAGGTAAGAGATAAAAACTAGCGATGGAGATGCATGGACAGGCGACAAAGATGGAATGAGGAAGCATCCAAAAAAAAGTTAATAAGGAACGAGAAAGGGAAAGTTAAAGAATGATATTTAAAAAGTTTTTTGACAGCCAGAGGTAAAGTTCGTGAATATATTTATAGAAAAATAAATGAGAATACGAAAGTTAGTGGAAGCAGAAGAAAAATAGTAAATGAGAAAAAAATTCTCATTATGGAGAGAAGATGGATGAATATCATTAGATAACAAAAAGAAAGGTCAATGTTAGGAATATTAAATGACATCAGAAAATCCATACCATTAAATTTTACGGCTCAGACAAAAAAAAGTTTTAAAAGCTTAAAGTTCAAATGTTGACAAAATAATGTAAAATATTAATTTCGTTTGTTTTATTTGTGTTTTAAGGCATTCGAGGATATAACACATAATCGCATGTCAGCTTCTGATGGCAAAATGTCGCTTTTGTGGGTGTGAAAATTCAGATTTACATGATATTAATTTTTTGAGGTTATGAAATTGATGAATTTAAGATTTTAACCTCAAAATTTAATTTTTTTCATGCTTCCAATCTTTCTTACTAGTAAGCCCTTAAAGGTCCTATTCTGAATTTATTAGACGGTCATTAAACATTGTCCCAGTCTCTCAGGAGCACTAAAATAGCCTTTTTTTGATGAACTCAAATAAATCAATGCTTAAGTAGCTAAAGCCAATGACTAAACAGATAAAGCACATTCAAAACCCTACTAGTTTTGACACCCTACTAGCTTCTTAAAGACGTTTAAAGCTTTCAAAACCCCCAATCCCTATATGCTAATCATCATATGTAAGAGAATGACTCTCCATGATCCATAAAGCTTCTAAATCCGACACAGTTATCAGAGTTTAATAAAATAATCCAATACTAGCAAACAGAAATTTTTGAGTTCTTATTATTCGAACTTCGAATTTTTGAGGTTCTTATTTTTCGAAAATCGAATCTTCGAAGTTCTTATTTTTAAAAAAATTCGTTGTGAATTATTGTTTTTCGAGTAATTTGTAATTTTAGTGAA